TTGGACCAAAATTCGTTGTCCGTTAGAAGACATACCGGCAGTCCAAATAAAGAGAATATTTCTTCAAGTTTACCAACAACTTCAGCAGCTGTTTTAGTTACTAGTTTATGCCATATTTTATATCGTGATGGACCACAATCAATCATTTATAAGTACAGTTCAGCACCTACTACAGCGCAGTTGCTATGTGTCACGTCAATGGCAACCTGATTCCAATTTTTTTTTGTACTAACAACTGAGAAATTCCACGAGTTTTTACACAATATTCTTCCTTCAAAACTGCGTTTAACCATCCTACGGTGCTCTTGCTATCACTGTATACTGTTAACTCTTTTATGTCCCACTTACTAGCTAAGTTTAGTCCTCGAAGTATTGCATCCAGTTCACTTATATTGATATGGTGTGTGTCACTTGCTGGCCGTAGCCATGCTGCGTCTTCAACAACTACTCCACCATTGAGCAGAACTACCCCAAGTCCTATGGATGATGCATCACAATAAAGCTCAGCTTTTCCATTCACTGGTACTAACCATTTTCCACCAACCGGATCACACGGTGGTTTTCCACACGGTGAAGCAAATCTTTCAGTTTTTCTTTACTATCTTCTGAAATAAAATCACACCAAGGTATATTTCCAGCTAAACATTTGATGTATGAAGCTTGTAAATTCAAACTTTCTGCCACTGGGTAATGTCCAATGAGTTTACCTAACTTGCTAAAAAGCTGCGATTGTGTGACTGCATTTAAAGGTTCAAATTGTAGCACATTGTCTCATTTTCTTTTCAGTTCCCCATTTTTATTTCTTTCGACTCTCAATCCTAAGACACATCCTTGTTCAAGATTTTGTGGAGGTTTACATTGTAACCGGAATTTATGCAGATGCTTCACTACATTTTCCGCAGTTTCCACACTTTCATCCACAAATATATCATCAATGTAGTTATCACATGCTTTCTTTACAGTTGAATTTAAATTGAGTACATGCCGAAGAATTGGGGTCATTATTGTTGATGCCTTGTTAATGCCAAAACACATTCTAGTAAAACAATATCGTTTCTCGTTTATAATCACTGTTTGATATGGTCAGAATTTCTTGTTTCTTGTAATAAAGGATAGAAAAAACAAAATTAATGAATTTATGAATTTGTGTGGTCTAAGAGTGGATTTGATAGCTGATTGTTTAAATATTTGCGCAAACAATTTTATATATATATATATATATATATATATATATATATATATATATATATATATATATATATATATATATATATATATATATATACATACATACACACACATACATATAATATATAAGTCACTGTTCTCCAAATTGACCACCAGGTTGAAACTCTCCCCACTCCCAATTTTTTTGAATTAAATCAATTATATGCAATAGTAAACACAATTTATATTGCCAAAAAAATCTGAACTAAGTGCGAAGTATGTAAATTTTAATAATCAAAACATCATTTTTTGCTTTTTTTCTTCAAAAATTTAGTCAGCCATTATGATATTTAAGAAAACCCAATAAAATTAATCTATTATATAATAAAACAACATTTATACATTTAAAACACATCTGATATTTTCACTATTGTTTGTTTAAATTGAAATTCACAACAGCAGACGTCAGCTTTTTGGCGTAATTTTTGTGTCCAATAGTTCTTTTATAATTCATACAAGTTTTTTTGAATTTGTGATGAACAGCTTCATCGAATTTGTTTTGCATAGTTACCTAAGCTTTTATTTTTGTGTTCTACAATAGGGAGAATATGACACACTAAAATGTATTTTCCATGATACTGTTAAATTGTAGTCAAAAATATCTTTGGTATACAGTTGAAGACTTAAAAATGAACTTTTGAAGTCTTCAATTTTAACAGAAATATCTGTACCCAATTCCAAACCAAACACTGCTGATTTTATTCATGAAAATTTACGCAAACAATCAATTATTGGTAAAATATTATTGCTGCAGTAATGGTGACATCTCTCTCTCTAAAACATTTAACAGAGACAAAAATCTATTAGCATTATTTCCGTCGAAGCCTACACCATGATACCCTCTCATTAGTATGTAAAGTTTTTCCAACCAATTTTCAAAAGCTGACCAAACTCACAAAAGCAAAGTACAAAGTTTATCTACAACTCTTATCATAATATGGAGCTCAGGTGGAGGAACAATGTGTTCAAAAAAAGTTGCTTGATCTTCTTATAAGTAAATTAAACAAGGATTTATAACATTTTTGTATTACTGCATTTTTAATCTTTTTCTTCCATCACATACATATTGATCATAACACAAGTTTTCCTATTTCTAATGTGCATTCCCCTTCACAATACAAACAGGCATATTTGCCAGAGTGACTTGACATTCCAAAAATACTGTTTGCACACTTTAGATCAAATGCGAAATTAAAATTCACTTCTTCAAGTTTTAGAGGAGCCAATAATTTTTGGAGACTGAAATCAACTCCACAATAGCAAGAATATAGCAACGTTTCACGCCAGAATCTTCATATATTTCCGATGAACTATAGTGATTTTTTAGATCAAAACCATTTATGATAACTTTTTAAAAGTTTTGACCGCCATCTATAGAAATTATTACCATTGCATTAAAATTATCGATGCCTCTTCTTTCAGTTATAAATTGAATAAATTCTGTTGTATTTTTGACATAAACGATATCTCTAAAAACTGTCTGATCTCCGTCAACAAGTTTCTCTGTTTAGCATTTATATAAAGTATCTAGAGTTTCTTGCAGTTTGTTCATTTTAATATTAATGCTTGATTCTGTAATATATATCACTTGATTTAATGCATGTACAACACAAGTTACACTCCTCCGTAAAGTAGAACATAATTTTTTTGTTTTGTAATTAGAAAGTTCTAATATATTTGATAGCTCCATAATGGTTTGGAATGAAATCTGGTTTAATTTATTTCTTTTGGACTTCATTTTATTCACTCCAACTTTAACTGATAGAAGATTTCCACCCATAGACAATATGAACTGCTCTCCGCTTGCAATGTTTTCATGTTCCATTTTACGTTTTAACAATCCAGATGCTATTTGTTCTGCATTTTTTTCTCCAAGCGACTCACTTATATTTATAATATTGCTTACAGCTTCACTTTTGCAGCAATCGTGAAAAACTCCTCTGCCTAAAATTAACAGTGAGATTTTTATAACTATTTTTAATTAACTGAAAATTGAATCGGAAATAAAACAATAAAACTATTAAATCAAACATTACAGTTTGATTCAATAGTTAAAAAAGTAAAGGAAAAACATTTCAATGAACTTTATTTAAATTATAAAACCATAGTATTTATTATTCGTACTAAGATTTAAGTAGCAAACCCCACAGATTTTTCTCAGTTGCATTTGAAACATTTGGCTCTGTTTCAACATTTGTCTGGATACTTAGCAGTGAAGAGGTTCGTCTAATAGTACTTCTATTGACCTAAATATATAAACACACATTTATATATATATATATATATATATATATATATATATATATATATATAATATATATATATATATATATAAATATACACACGTATAAATATATTATATATATATATATATATATATATAAATATATATATTTATATATATATATATATATATATATATATATATATATATATATATATATATTTATATATATATATATATATATATATACACACGTATAAATATATTATATATATATATATATATATATATATATATATATATATATACACGTATAAATATATTATATATATATATATATATATATATATATATATATATATATATATATATATATATATATATATATATATATATATATATACGTGTGTATATATACGTGTGTGTATATATATATATATATTAAGGTTTATAATTAATATTATAAGTATATTATAAGTAATATTTAACTCATACAAAAGCTCATTTAACTCATAATATTTAACTTATACTTTTGATAAACTCTCTAACCAGTTAGATAGATATGCAGTTTCTCCTTTGTTTAGACTAAACAAATTTCTTCTGCAGTTGGAACAAACAACTGAAGGACAAACATCAAGATCAGAATCAAAGTTTGGCCAAATGTATTCTTGAATTTTTTGACATATTGAGGGTGTTATGGACGTTAAGCATTTTGATCTGATACCTTTGTTTTTCAAGCAAACTGCATAAGTACACATTTTAAATTCTGCCGCCATGTTGGAAATTATTAGTTATATCTAGAAAAAGGCCATAAATAAATTATTTTGAATATGATAATGGCTGACTTTATTTGAACTTTTGAAGAAAAAAAAGCAAAAAATGACATATTTTAATTTTTAAAATTTACATACCTAGCACCTAGTTCAGATTATTTTGGTAACATAAATTGTGTTTACTTTTGCATATGATTGTTTTAATTCAAAAAAATTGGGAATGGGGAGAGTTTCAACCTGGTGGTCAATTTGGAGACAGTGAAGTATATATATACATATATATATGTATGTATATATTTATTTACTTGTTTATTTATGAATTAAAGTACTTGTATATTTGCTTTTATACATAAATAAACACATAAATGTTATGGAGATATGCATGTATTTAACATACATACATGCTCATAACAGTTCTTGTATCATAATCAAATGCAAAATACATTTAATTTTATAATAACATTTGTTTTAACTCTATTAAGTGTAAAAATAATATACTTATTGATATATATGATTTATTCCTTATTTTTTACAAATAAGGAATAAATCATATAAGTTTGATATAGTATATATTATAGCGATAACTAAATATTCTCCTGCCTTTAATTAGAGACTTAAGAATACAAGTTCATTTTATTGCTGGCTTTAACAACTACTGTTCTACTTTTAACTAGGTTATCGCAGGGTTTAACGTAGAGATGTGATTGCGGCTGCTGATCTTATTAAACTGGTTGTTTACAATTAAAAGTCATTAAATATATAAAATTGTTTTTAAGGGAGCTACTGGAGATAAAGTTGCTGTAGATAGACTTTCATTAAACATGTATAAAGGACAAATCACCTGTTTGTTAGGTCACAATGGTGCTGGTTAGTTTAAATGTATTTTTTTTTAGTAAATTTTGTTCTTTGATTTTATATTGTATCACCAACAGCTGCAGCAACAGCAACAGTATCATCATCATCATCATCATCATCATCATCATCATCATCATCTATATAATCATCATCATTATCATCCACACCACCATCAGTATCAGTTTCAACATATAGTTCTTTGTTTGTTATTGCAACATGGTCATAGGCACACAGGTTTTTAGAATTTAACCGTACCGCTTAGAAATTTTTAATTTTTTAGATATGTTGTATTTGAAATAAAATTTTGAGCAAAAACTGCTCATATAAGAGCTGTTTAAAAAATGCGTTGCATTACGGAATGCATCGAAAAAGGGGGAATCATGAAAATGACATTTGGATATGTTTTTTTAATTCATTTTCTTTAAACCAAATTGTAAATTAAAAAATTCAACTTCCAAAATTTTAACAATATGAATAGATTTTTTATAATATTATCTTATTTTATTGAAAGATTTCTTTATTATAAACAATATGAGTAATTCAAAACTATTTTAAAAATGTATCTTAAAAAAAAAAATACTACATGATCTTTAAAATAAAGTCCTATTTTGCTGAAAGTATGATTATTTTATTGTAAGCAATATAAGTAAATACAGTAAGAAAAATCTGTTTTTTTTTTTTTTTGTGCATCTTGTTAAATTTATCAAGTGAACCCAAACTTTTAACAAGTAGAGTAAATTATGAATATTAAATACATTAAAATATAAATGCAATAAGAGCAAAATAAATTATAAATTAACTTTTTGATATGATAGTACATATATATAGGATCAAGTTAATACAATTTAAAAAATCATGCACTGCAGTCTGTATTGTGATGGTTGATGAAAATTTATTTTGAAACTTTAAAATGTTATTTTGATAATAAATCTTCTAACTCAAAGCATTAAAATTTTACTCAGAAAAATTTAAATAAGCACTTTTAAATTTTTCTGAGAAAAGTAACTAAGATCCAGTAACTTATAAACATACATCTTTATTTAAAAAAATAGAGAGAAAAGAAATTTATAACTTTATAAAAAATTAAACTTAATTGCAATCACATAATATTGAAATTACGTTAAAGAGCACAGTTTAAGATTTTATTTTTACCAGTAAGAGATAAAAAACTCTCTTCATGTGCAAGTCTTTTTTTTTATCTGTGTATTTTTTTTTAATTTTGCGATAATAAAATTTTCACTAAAATAAGATTATAGTAGCAGTAATTATCATAGTTACAACTAATTTCAATGACATGTTTTAAAAACTAATTAGTAATTAAAAAACTAGGTAAAATAGTTGTGTTTTGGATGAATTTCTTGTAATAAAGAATAGAAAAAACAAAATTAAAGAATTTATGAATTTATGTGGTCTAAGAGTGGATTTGATAGCTGAATGTTTAAATATTTGTGCAAACAATTTTGAAAGTGATATGATATATATTACAGATTTAAAGACTTTTAATCTTTTCCATCGCATTTACGTAGGTTACTCTTGCAACTTTTTTTTAATCATCTTCGCTTCCAACAAGGCTGCAAGCAACCACTAATTAGTGTTGGAAGTTACTGGAAGAGAAAAGATGAAGATTGTAGAGTGAGATAACGGTTGACAGACGACTTAAAAGATTGCAAATTATATGAATCAGGAAAGCAAGATGAAGGAAGCGAATTCCAAAGAACTGATGTTCGAGGAAAAAAACTAGACAAGTAAGAGTTTTTGGAGCACTTAGGAACAGTAATAGAAAAAGGATGAGACTTAATTGAATGATGAGTAACACGAGAATGAATTTTAGTAGATGGCACAAGAGACGCTGGCCCTTTAGAGCAGTGCCCATTATAGTATTGGTAGAAAAGAGAAAGAGAAGCAACATTACAACGATGTGACAGAGGTTGAAGGTTGGCTGCAAGAGCAGATCCAACTATGTTTCCAATGCGTTTTTGCACCTTGTCTAAAAGAGAAAGGGCATCATTAGAAGATCCGCGCCAGATATGGCAACAGTATTCCATACAAGGTCGGATTTGAGATTTATAGAGATAGAGAATAGAATCCAGAGTAAGAAAGTGTCGAGCTCGATAAAGAGAAGCAACTTTAGCAAATGCTAATTTTGCAACAGATTTGATATAAGGTTTCCAAGAAAGATCAGAAGTAAGAGTTAATTCTAGAAGATGAAGGATAGGAGACTCATCGAGTACATTACCATTCATAAATATAGGAAAGTCTAAATTATTGCGATAAGGATTGGCTGAAAAAAATTGAGTTTTATCTGAATTAAAGTTCACCAGCCACTGTGAGCCCCATGTTTTAGCAGAAGTGAGATCCTTTTCGAGCTCAGATGCCCTCTGTAAGCAATCAGAGGGAGTTGGCTTCTTCAAGGATTGAACCTCGAGGAACCCCTGAGGTTACAGAATAAGAAGAAGAGTGCTGTCCATTGAGGACAACTTTTATACTAAGATTGGAAAAGAACGATTCAATAATCTTAAAGATGTTTCCAGATACACTGTAAGAAAAAAGCTTATGGAGAAGACCAGCATGCCAAACTTTATCAAACGTTTTAGAAATGTCAAGAGCGATGGCCTTAACCTCTCAATATGGATTTCGATCTTCTTAAAGAAAAGATCGAAATCCATATTGATGATCAGAAAGTAGGTTATGAGATTCGAGATGAGAGATTGGGTGTTTGTTAATTAAAGATTCAAAAACCTTGCTTATGATAGGAAGAAGACTAATGGGACAGTAGTTAGACAAATCGGATCGCTCTCCAGAATTTTTAAAAATAGGGATAACAGATGCTGCTTTCCAGCAGGCTGGAAAACAAGACTCTGATAAGCACTTGTTAAATAGTTTTGAAAGGATAGACAACAGCTCCAGAGAACACTTCTGCAAGACTATAACGGGTATGTTGTCCAGGCCGCAAGCTGTAGAAGAGTCTAAGCAGGAAATTACTTTAAATGCAGAAGCTGGAGTTATACGGATGTCGAGCAATAGATCAACCTGTTTGATGGCTATAGCAGGTAGAACGCAACTAGTGGAATCAAGAGATGATATTGATGAAAAGTTCTTGGCAAACAATTCAGGGTTGTCTTTAGATAAGGTGACAAAGTCTGAACCATACAAAAGAAGTGGAATTACAGACTTGCCCTTATTATTGATACTATTAAAGATTCTCCAGAAGTCAGGAGAGCCTGATTTTTGTGATAAAATACAAGATTTCATGGTCTGAGAATAGCGGGCTTTGGCGTTAGACAAAACCTTTTTACAATGGTTCCTAGCAGTAATAAACAGACGTCTGTTTTCTGGAGAATTATTTTGCTGATAGATATTGAAGTAATGGTTTCGATTGGCAATTGCAGCAGCACAATGTGAGGAAAACCATGGAGAAAAGTGAGGCTTAACCTGGAATTGTCTAGAGGGAATAAAGGATTCCATGCCAGCCTGAATCCATGGCATGTAGATTCACTGACACTAGAGCTAAGCCATTCAGTGTGATGAACACTAAAGTCACCAATAACAACAATATTGGCTGATGGATAAAGAATGAGGGCTTGGTCAATATAATCAGATATAACATCAAGAAGAGTGCAGTCTTGAGATGAAGGAGAGCGATATAGAACAAAGAGAAAGGTGATAGAGTGAAGTGTTGCTAAACGAAAGCACATAAAAGAGTAGTCTGTGGATTCAAACCTGGTTTCCCGACAAATGGGTGAATTCTTAGTAATGTAAATGCCCAGGCCAAGCATGTGACTATTGGAGTCTTTACGAATTAAAAGAAGATAACCTTCAACACTAAGATCACAAGATGAGACAGAAGAACTTAAATTAGTCTCACAAAGAGCAAGTAGGTCTGGTGAACTTTGCAAGAGATAAGACTCAACAGAAAAAAAGTTACTTCGAAGACCACAATTATTGGTGAATGATAGGTTTAGCGAACTTGGTGATGACTGTGGTTTTTTGTGTTTTATAGTTTTTGTTACTTTATTCATTTTTAAATTTGTTAAAGAACTTGACTCGAAACATAGATAGTACTCAGTACATTGTTTTATAGCCCAAGCAATTGCCTCATTTCCACTAATAAACCCTAAGCCGTAACAAAGGGCTCCAATGTGGCCTTGGCAATGCACACCAATAGTACAAACAGGGACTCCACCCATGCGCAACATGGCACTGTTAGTACTCTGATATTTTTCAGCTGTTGATGGAATCAGCCTCTCTGAGAGCTACCACAGAGTTTGGGAAACCTGGCTACCAGCCGGCCTCAGAACCATAAAACTGAGTTTTAGAGCTGTACCATCATTTGGAAATAATAGAATGAATTGCCTAGTCATAAAAACATAGACACGAGCTACTACATAACTGAAGAAAAAAATTAAGTTGCATAAACATGTAAAACTTTATTAGGCTTGTACATATGTTTACAATCAATTCACAGGTCAGAAATATATTTGAGCAACTTTAGTAACTTTTTAACTAATTTTATTATATAGTTTTGGTTAAAATTGCCAATAAAATCAACTTTATAAAACGATAAAGCATTTAAGTTATTGTAAACATAAAGTTCTTTAATTTTTCTTCGAATTTTATTATAAACATTTTCTTTTGTAGAAACAAAAGATAATAATGTTGGAGTATGATTGAAAGTTTTTGTCACATATACTACTTAAATACACATTAAAAATTAAACAAGAAAAAATGTTAAATTGTTTTATGAAATCTAAACATTTATGAAGATAACAAGTATACCTTATGCAAAATATCATATCTGTTGTAAATTTTACATAAACTTGTTTAAAAATATTATACTATTGTTTAAGAAATACCATCTACAATTTTAAAATTATATTTAAAAATAAAAAAAGGAAAGAAATAAGTTCAGATTTAAAAATAACTGGCAAATATAAGTTTCCACACCTAAGTTTTCTTAATAGAGTTTTTTAACACAACCACCACTAGATAAGCTTGTGTAAAATAAATAATAAGAGTAATTGATAATCCAAATTTTATTCTCTTTAAATAAAATCTTTTGATATTTAAAACAAAAAGCTTAAACTATATACTTAATTAAAATTTAAGTTACTTTTAAGTTAATAAGAGTTAAAACTTAAGACTTAAAAGTTACTTTTAAGTCTTTTAAGATTTTAAACTTATATCTTTTATGTCAATTTAAAAGTGACTTTGAATCATAATGTTTAATGTTAAATTTTACTAATTATTGGTTAGAAGTTGACTTACACCACTCTGATTCTAACAATCTAGAATCAAAGTGATTCAAGTCAACTTTACTTTATCCTTTAGGTATATCAAAAATTGGTTTGTGAATTTAGATTTAAAATTGGTTTTACTCAAAAAAAATAAAAAACTAATTTTAGCATAAAAAAACCAATTTTTATGTTTTTTTGTATTAAATTTATAAATACAAATTGAGTAGAAGAATTTGACAATTTTAAACACATGTGCAATTTTATAAGCTATTAATATATATAATAATATTATATATATTATATAATATTATTATATATATTAATAGCTTATAAGATATTAATATATATAATAATTCACTCATAAAAAATACATTTTTGTTTTTATACCAATTTATTTTACTTCACTTATTAAACAAATTTAACTAACTTTGAACAAAGATTTTTTTTGTGCTGGTTGACAATGAAACCAGTTTATAAAGAAAAAAGATTTATACAAGTTTCAAAAACAAATGTGGTGTTGCAATAGCAAATATGGTGTTGCAATAACGAACAAAAAACTTGCAATAACAAAAAAGAGATGCTTTACCTTAAACATGTTGTAATACAGAATATTTTTTTGCATTACTTCACATCCATATGGTCATCATCATCATCATCATCATCATCATCATCATCATCATCATCATCATCATCATCATCATCATCATCATCACCATCATCATCATCATCATTATCATCATCATCATCATCGTCATCACCATCATCATCATCATCATCGTCATCACCATCATCATCATCATCATTATGATTATCATCATCATCATTATCAAAACTTAGTTTTAAATTTTAAATGCAGGTAAGACAACAACGATGTCTATTCTAACTGGGCTGTATACACCTACTAGTGGCACTGCTACAATTAATGGTAAAAGTATTTTTAAAGAAATGGACAGAATTCGTGATAGCCTTGGTTTATGTCCTCAGCATAATGTCTTGTTTGATCGCCTTACTGTCAGAGAACACTTAGAATTTTTTACTGGTTTAAAAGTATGTTTTAAGTTATCTTATGTTTATAAATATTTTTATATTTAAAGTGTGTTAAGCATAGGACTATGGATAGAATCCTCGGAGCATTGAACTGGTTACGACGTTAAACTGATCTTATAATAGGTTAGGTGAGGCTCTTTAGCCAGGATGAAGGTGTTTTACCTAGGATTAAAAAAAAAACTAATACAAAAACCTTAATTTAATTATGAATAGAAGTAGAAAATAGTATAATAAAAAACTAGCTCTTGCAATGTCAGAATTTTTACAAAAATTGAATGAAAAAAGAAGTTTCTGTTTAAATGTAATTCTAATAAAAGCCAGGTAATAAACAGGTTGCACAGAAATTTCTGTACAGATCAATATTGTTCACAGAATGTTCTGTACTTGTCTACAAAAAAGTTTTAATAAAAGAATTGTTAAAACTATTTTTTTAATTGTTAATTTGTTTATTCTCTACCTTTCCAATAAAGGTAGTGCTAAAACTGTGATAAAAAATCTTTTTAAATTATTTTTTTTTATATAAATCTTTTTTTTATTTCAAAAAAGCGTTATCCTTGCATCAGTTTTTTCATTGACTTAAATATTAATAAATGTTTGCAATACTTAACAATAAGTAAAAAGCATGCAGACAAATAATTTTTACAACTTTTGAAGTAAAAACGTTCAATTGAAATTCAAATTTCTGAAAAGTATTTCTGAAAAGTATTTCTTTAAAAGATTAAGTTATTATTTTTGTCGAACATAGTTACATGATTAAAAGATTAAGTTATTATTTTTGTCAAACATGATTGCATACTGTTTGTTAAATTAAAACTTACAAAAAAAATCTTAAGTAAAGAAACGCAAGACATTAACAGACCTGGAGAAAAGGATGTCAAACAAAGAGATCCCCAAAAGCATGATGTCTCAAAGAATACCATATTAACTTGGGTTAAAAATGATAACAAGTTATTAACGTTGCTGGCATAAAATCTAAACAGAAGAATTTTCACTTTTTCTTCTATTTTCAGCAAAAGCATCAGCTTGAAAATGATCTCAGGCAAAAGTGCCTTTGTGAAATGATATGACTGATGTGACAAATGATATGACTGATGTGACAAATGATATGACTGATGTGACAAATGGTATGACTGATGTGACAAATGATATGACTGATGTGACAAATGATATGACTGATGTGACAAATGGTATGACTGCTTCATGGAATGAAACTATATTTCTAACATTTCATTTTAATTGCAAACATAAAAACATTTTTAATTTTGATGAGGTTGGACTATTTTACCAGTGCCTACCAAACAAAACATATCACAAAAAATTCTTTAAAGATTAAAAAATAGTAAAATCAGACTATCAGGCACAAGGCTTGAATTAAGTAAATTAAGGCTTAAATTTTAAAATCTGAAAAGCTTCTGGTTTTTAAACTATTAGTTTTTTAAAAACTGTTAAAAGTTTTTTACCATAAAAACAAAAAACAACATAAACTCAATAGCTGTTATTCAATAAAAAATAAAAAAAGTTCAACATTTTTTTTAGCTCAATAATTGTTAGCTCTTATAAAAACACAACATCAACCTGGGTTATTAATAAAAAAACAAGTTAAATTTTTTAAACTTTTTGTGAATTTTATTTTTTTCCTATAACTTTTTTTTTATATATAATGCTTAGATTACCTAGTTTTATATATAATGCTTAGATTACCTGGTGTTTAAACAAACAATAATTTAAAATATTTAAGTTTTGACTGTTATTATTTTTGCGGTAGTAAATTTAATTTAAAAATAGTTTTGTTTTTTCATTAGTTATGTGTTATGATAAATTGACAGTTTCTTTAAAATTTTATACAGTTTTAATAAACTGAGAGTTTAAAGACCAAAAATATTTCCAGATTGTGATTACTTAATTTGAGCCTTGAAGCATGGCAGCAGTAAGTGCAACAGGATTAGTATTATCTATGTTTTTTATTGGAAAATGTAAAACCCCATGAAGTTTTAAGCACATCAAACAACTCCCTTTTACATATAAGAATTAACAAAAAAGTTGGATGAATAGAGACTTTTTTACAGAATGGGTAAAGAAGCTTGATTCATCTTTTTGTGCTCAGGACAGGAAAGTAGTACTCTTGGTAGATAACTGTTCTGCCCATCCACAGATTGAATGGCTAAGCAACATCAACCTAATATTTATTCCCCCTAACACCTTCAGACCATGTATCTTCATGTATCAAGGCTATTGATAATAACAAACCCCTGTCAAAAAATTCTGTCCTTCAAACAATGAAAAGTTTTTTTTTTTTTGGAATGCTGGGTCAAAGCTTTACTTCTTCGTCAAGCTCAACTTCATCATCTAATGGTTTCCTTTCAAATCTTTGACAGAAGAACTTGACTGTTTGCAAGAGTCAGATCCTAATGATGTTCAAGAAGACCTCTCAACAAAATCTTACATTGGTTTAGATTGTGATGTAATAATCAGCAGTTCACATGTTAATGATGCTGAAATCATTGCTCAGATTTTAGATCCTAATTTTAAAAATGACGATGATGAAATTGAAATAAGGGTATTGTGTCAAAACCCTACCACACCCATCTGATATTCAATTAGAAATTTTTGAAACACTTCAAAATGCTTTGCTATACAGCTCAAAACACGAAAATAAAATACGATCCCTAGCTCTAAAACTTGAGGGTTTAATGAAAATGGAAAAGATAATTTAAAGCAATGTCAGATGGCAAATTTTTCCAAAGTTATAGTTTTTGTTGCATTGATTTTTGTCAAAAAATAACTTGTTTAATGAAAGTCAGATGATTTCACTTATTTTAATCCCTATCTTGATATCTTGAACTCTCCATAACTTTTCTTCCAATCACCTTAGGGGTAGATATATCAAGAGTTTTCTGTATTTAAAAAAAAAATACACATTTACATTTATTTTTTAAAACTATTAATTATTTAAGCAAATGAGCTGACAAAGTTCACTTATAGAAATTTTAGTTGCAAGCAAAACTCGGTTTTGAATTTTAACTAAACAAAAAAAATATCTAAAATAAATTGGGACCAATGGCTGTTCCTATAAAATATTTTTATAGAATTAACTTTTTTTGAAATTGTTAGTTTTTAAAAATACTTAATTATTTTGGTAAAAAATATTTTTTTATTGATAGTACCCAACGATGGATGAAAAACATATTTCCATTTAACTTTTTTAATTTTTATTCATAAAGATGTTAGTTTATAGCAATCAATAAAATAACCATTGAGAGAGCAAAAGAAAATAACAATAGAATTTACAATTTAAAATTTATTTAAAAAGTAATCTTAAACAATAATAAAGAATAATAACTAGGTTTAAATGACAAGTTTTATAATTCTAATTGAACAATGTGGTTTTATATGTATAGAATATAAATTAAGTTGAGTTATCCTATAATTTACTTTTTACATGAAAAAGGGTATTTCTAAAGATAAAGCACGTACAGAGATTGATCAAATGTTGTTGGACATTCAACTTCATGACAAAGCTAATCAGCAATCATCAACACTTTCTGGTGGTATGAAAAGAAAACTAAAGTAAATATTTTTTATAATTTATAAATTTATTTTGTTTGTTTAAAAACATAATTCCATATAAATAAATTTTTTTTAAATTACAATTTACCATGTTTTTAAACTATTTTGTAATATATATTTGTATATTTTTGCAAGAAAATTAAATTCTTTTTAAATATATTTTTTAACTGAATGTATAATCTTTATATTGCTCTTATTATGTTGTTCAAAATAAAGTTGTTCATACTAAAATGCATACCATTATCAGAGCGGTGCACAAGGAGAGTCACCTGAGCAAGTTGCTCGGGGCCCCCACATGTGGTTGATTTAAATAAATTTATCCGCAGAAAAGCAATAAACTTCCGGGTTTTTATTTTTATTTTTTTTATCCCTTTATCCTTACGCTTCAAAGCAAATCAGTTACAACTTTTCACAAATGCAGCACAAATGTTCAATGCCGTTAACAATAGAGCAGGCAAAGTTTATCATATTCAATAGAAATAACCCTGGCCGTGAGAGGCTTTTGTTTAAATTTTATTTCTAAACTGATATTAAGAAAAATTTGTCATATGAACAAACCTAGTGCAAGTCAAACTTTAAAAGTGACATATTATGAAGAGTTGTTTTTACAGGCCATTCGCTTGACTATTATTATTATTTAATTTATAAGTTAATAATGATAAACACACAATATTATATGTAATATATCATATATATATATATATATATATATATATATATATATATATATATATATATATATATATATATATATATATATATATATATATAAAGTATATTTGACCAAAGTACCTAAAAAAATTTGAAATGCACCCACTTTATTTAAATCAGTAAAGCAAAATAAGCAACTCTACACAAACGTTACTTGATGTTGGATCAAGTTTAGCTTAACGCAGCAGAAGATGACAGAAGCATCCAATTTTCTGCACTGGCACTGTTGGACCAGCTTTGCTGCAGCTATTTAACATTGGTGACTTTAAAATTAAAATTTTTCCATTTTTAAAATTTTTTAACTTACCTGGATAGGGCTGGTTATGTTCCTTTTCCACTGGATATACTAAAAGATACCAGAAATCATATATATTTAATATGTGTTTTAAAAATCATATTCTGTTTTAAAAGTCAAAATGCCAAATGAAGAATCCTTTTTTTGAGATTGGCTTGTACTTAACTCAGCAAAGACAGCAGTATTTTGTTTTCTAATTCAATTTTTTTTACTGTAAATCAAGTTTTACATTTCCAAATTTTGTGACCTGCCAAATCCTCAATGAAGCAGCTAGCTTGAGAAAAACTATAGAACAAGTCTTGGAAAGGCTTTTTGTGGAAAATCGCACCTAATTGAAGATTCTCTGATGGAAATTTCTTAGGATTGCTGAAACTAATTTTAAAACTGTTTAAAATTAGTTTCAGCAATCCTAAAACTGGAAAATTTTAAAACATTGATCAGTCACATTTAATCTGTTTTGGAGGAATAGCCAACGGTTTTGAAAAAAGCTAAATTAGCGGCAGATCCTGCAAAAATCAGTTCTAAATTTCTTATCCACCAAAAAGTGAAGTGCAAAGGGTTGCTTGGGAGTAAATTGAAGGTGATGAAAATATTACGGAATCAACTGAATTAGGAGAGTAAGCAACATTTTAGAGCGGTTTTTTATTACATTCTTGACTCTGTGATTGGTAGACTCACTGTTCGTTTCACATCCATTCAAGAAATCTTTGCTTTATTATATTTTTTGTGCATGGCCCTGACTATTATTGTGTAATTATGTTAGTTCATGCTAAAATTGCTTATAACATAATGATAATATGTTATAACATAATGGTAGCATGTTATAACATAATGATAACATGTTATAACATAATGATAATATGTTATAACATAATGGTAGCATGTTATAACATAATGATAACATGTTATAACATAATGATAATATGTTATAACATAATGATAATGATAACATGTTATAACATAATGGTAACATGTTATAACATAATGATAACATGTTATAACATAATGGTAACATGTTATAACATAATGGTAATATGTTATAACATAATGGTAACATGTTATAACATAATGGTAATATGTTATAACATAATGGTAACATGTTATAACATAATGATAACATGTTATAACATAATGATAATATGTTATAACATAATGATAATGATAACATGTTATAACATAATGGTAACATGTTATAACATAATGGTAATATGTTATAACATAATGGTAACATGTTATAACATAATAATAACATGTTATAACATAATGATAATATGTTATAACATAATGGTAACATGTTATAACATAATGGTAATATGTTATAACATAATGGTAACATGTTATAACATAATGATAACATGTTATAACATAATGATAATATGTTATAACATAATGGTAATATGTTATAACATAATGGTAATATGATATAACATAATGCAGGGCTCGAATTAAGCAAATCAGGATCGCGAATCGGGTTTGCTTTTTACACCTTCGCGATTAGTTTTTTCTTAAAACATATATTTTCGTGACTGGTTTACTTTTTTAGTTGTTTATTTACTATTTTTCTAATTTAGCTTTTTTTTTTTGGCAATTCTTAAAAGTAATGTTTTCATAGTAAAGTACATCACGCAAAGTTTGTCTTTTGAATAGAAGCATGATCATTTACTTTTGAATAGAAGCTAAAAGAAACCAGCAACTTTTTTTCTTTTAAGTTTTTCGCTTTAACGACCTTGAACTTATGAAGTTATATTTAGTTAACTTTACTGAATTAATAGAGTATATCACAGTAAATTAACTTATAACCTAAATCAAAACAACCAGTTAAGTTGAGTAACTGTAAGTTAAGTAACTTACAGTTACTCAAGTATTAATTTAACAATTATATTAATTTATTTAGCATACTCGCAAAAGTTAGCCATAGACATGTTTCAATTTAGATCTTACATGTTGTTAACACATAATAAAGCTTTTAACTAATAATTATTAAAAAAAAAACTGTCGAATAGAATATGAAAATCATTTTATTTATAGCGACATCTAGACTAAACATTTTCTATAAATATGCAATTGTTTTCAGGAATTTTATTTAAAAAGAAATCAATTTAACAAGAGAACTTTAGACTTAAAATTCATTTATTCAAATAATTTTGTGATTGAAATTTGAAATTAAAAAAAAAAATTAAAAACTTAAATAAAGTTTGATGAAACAAGGGAGAAAAGAAGAAATTTTTTTTTTTCTTAAATCGTAAATTTTTTTAACGTTTTGAATTATATATTTTTTCTTGAAAATAGTTTTAAAAGTAGAAACATTCTATTGCAAACATCAAAGCTGTAATTACAAATTGCAAGTTAAAATAAAAATTAAAAAAATTTTAAATTAAATTTAATATACTTTACTTCTGTTTGAAAAAAATTTTTAAGCATATTCTTATTCTTAATATAATTCGATTTATTAAACAAAATTTTTTGTTTCACTTCTTTTTGGAAAACAATTAGAATAAAAAAAAATTAAATGAAAACATCAGTTTAAAAACCATTTGAATGAAAAACTTAGTTATACTTAAATTTTTAATTGTACGCTTGATCAGGAAATGGTAATTTGTAAAAGATGTGGTATCTAATGTTTTTATGCTTTGATCTTACTCGTTTAGTCCATATATTATAAACTCGTATAGGTCTATAGGCGCAAATATGAAGTTTTGTTTTAGTTTATTAACTAGATCAATTTTATATATTTGCTTTTTTTTATTTTAAACGCGTTTTATTTTATAAATTGTATAAATCACACGAAACAGCGTCACAAATTTTTTTACACTAACCCAAGCTCTTTATATTTTTAAAACAACTTTGCAGTTTGTTTTAATGTTGTTTTATGGTTTTTAACAATTAAATACTTTTTAAAATTAACATGTGTTTTAACGTCAGCACGAACGTATTAAATAGTTTTCTTTGACTAATTAAAGTAGTTTTTCTCTTACTTTTTTATTTTTATTTTTTCAAGCGTCATTTTAAGTAAAATATATATCTTAAAGAAATATCTTAATAGTATTAAAAATGTTATTGCTTATTACAACTGCAACTTAAACTTTAAGTTATCACTTAAGTTGTAAATAATAACCGTAACTTACGCTATTTTAAACTCTGCCGAACAAGAAAATTATAAGATTATATTTAAATATGAGAGATAATATATTAAAAGTAGAACAATTACGTACAAAAGTTACAATTATGTTATAACATAATGGTAATATGTTATTATAACATATTACCATTATGTTATAACATATTACCATTATGTTATAACATGTTATCATTATGTTATAACTTATAACATAATGGTAATATGTTGTTATAACATAATGATAACATGCTATAACATAATGGTTATATGTTATAACATAATGGTAATATGTTATAACATAATGGTAACATGTTATAACATAATAATAACATGTTATAACATAATGATAACATGTTATAACATAATGGTAATATGTTAGCATTATGTCATAGTTATTGGGTACTCTAATAAAGCGTGTACACATAATAAACGTGAAAGTAGAAAAACTATTAAAAAAAAGTGTCTATCAATTTTTATTTATAATTAAGGTAATAATTTCAAAATATTATTTTAAGAAGTTAAAATAATTCAAAGAAATTTATTTCTGTGCGCATCTAATAAACTTTCAAACTTCGATGGCATCCATAAGCTTGTGCACAGAATAGCAGTTGAAAATATTTGACACTTTTTTAAATAACATTTTCAATTCTTTGATGCTTTTGCAAAAAAAAAAATTGTTTTTTTCATTTTTTGTTCAATAATTTCCTTTACTTTTCCATAACTTTCAATTTTGAGTAGTTAGGAGGGTGTGTTGTTTAAGGCACAACTTTTTGTTTATATGATTCAATAGCTAGTTTACAGGTCTATTATGATGTAATTTAATGAGAGGTAAATAAAAATTTTAAAAACACTCTTTTATATGCAGTAATGGTGTACTAGTAGAGCGCTTGCTACATAATCTAGAGGTTCCAAGTTCGATCCCCACAACATCCCTGGTAGTACAATGTTTAACTTGTTTCAGCAAACTTGTTTTCAAAGTTGGTGTTAAATAATTGAGAGAGGGTTCTAATCATATTAAAGTAACCTCCTTGATCGTAGTCGCCCTCTTGGCCTTTGGGGAGGTGAACAACATAAAAAAACAAAACAAAAAAACATATTTAAAAAAAAAGTAGGGATTCGGATATATAGGGTGCTGAATTTTTGCCACACCTGTAAATAGCTTGCTAAATTAAGGCTTTTTTAGCAAATCATATTTTTGTGTATTTAAATTTCTTATTTGCTTTTACTTTGACAATTTAATATACTGCACCAGGCAGATGATCATACTTGATATAAGTTTCATCATTTTCAATAACACCAAAGTTTTAATACTGAAACCATTCTTTCTTCCACTCCTAGATTTCTGTTTGACCCATTTTGTTTGAGAAAAACATATGTGAATTTAAATTGTAACTTGTCTCTCTAGATGTAAGCAACGTTTGTTATGTAGGTTCATTTTTAAATGTTTATGTAGACATAAAATTAGCATTTTTTTAGCCATTTACTTGAATGACATCAATCTATCAAATAATATAACAATCTAAGAATCTATAACATTGGCCATAAAAACTGTCTTTCATTAAATTTTTTTAGATGATTTAAGTAGTCAAAACTCTTTTTTAATAGTTGTACTAAAATGTGTATTAATATGTAGCATAAAAGTAAGAAAAATGAAAGATTCAAATAATAAGAAGAACATGTTACAGATTTTATGAAGAACAACATGTAATGAAGAACATGATACAGATGTTATAAAGAACTACATGTTACAGATGTTACAAAAAACGACATATTATAAAAAACAACATGTGCCAATGTTAATAGCATGTTATAGATTTTATGAAGAATAATTTGTTACAAATGTTATGAAGAACAACATGTTATAGATGTTATGAAGAACAACATGTTAAAGATGTTATGAAGAACAATATGTTACAGATGTTATGAAGAGCAACATGTTATAGATGTTATGAAGAATGACATGTACAGATGCTATGAAGCAGGACTAGCTACAGATGTTATAAAGAATGACATGTTAAAGATGTTATGAAGAAGGACATGTTACAGATGTTGATTCACACATTTTACAATAGAGATTGAATCAACATATATTGGTTATTATCTAATAGACCTTTAATTTATTTTTTCTGTTAGAAAAAATTATTGCTATTTTAATATAGGCAGTGAAGCCAAAGTTGCTTAAAGTATTGTTGAAATCTAGATGCTATATTGTTATATCAGAAAAATTTTATTAATATTTAAAAAGTTTCTAGAAATTTATTGATGTATTGGTATTCTATTTTTTATTGGTAAATTTATTGGTAAATACAAAAACCAAAAAATTTTTCAGTCTTGTGCAAATTTTTTTATGGTCTACAAATCCTTTTTTTTTTAATATAAAAAACAAACAAATATGTTTTAATAAGGATAATTTTTTATTATATTATTCGTTTTAAAACTTTTGTCATATAATCCCTTTTTTTTTGTCTTGGTTCTTTTTTAAATTTTTATTTATTTACTTATTATAGTTTGTTTAATATGTTTCTTTATTTCTGCTTTTTTGTTGTTTTTGTTAAACCTTTAGATTAAAAACTAAATTTGTTTGAAATATATTTGTTTTTATATTGTATAAGTTATTTAAGTTCGCATTTTATTATATTACTTATTTCGATTTCTAAATGCAAATAAAAGTTGTTCATTAGTCTTTGAAAGGTAATTAAAATTTCTTGCAACAATCTTAAAAGTTAAATTATTATTATTAATTTAGTTGCGCCATTGCATTGATTGGGGGTTCAGAAACAGTATTTCTTGACGAACCAACTTCAGGAATGGATCCTTATGCTAGACGAGCAACATGGGATTTACTTCAAAAATACAGAAAAAATAAAACTGTTATTCTAACAACCCATTTTATGTAAGTTTTATTAGTGAGATAAAAACTTTAAAAAGTTTAAAAATAGGTAAATGAGGTGGTAAGCTAACAAGAAAGAGCCTTAAAATTTTATGTTAAAATTTTTTCTGGTAATTTTAGGGACGAAGCAGACTATCTTGCTGATCGCATTGCCATAATGGCAGAAGGCAAGCTGAAATGCTGTGGTTCATCATTATTTCTTAAGAAAAGGTTTTAAAATTGACATTGATAAAATCGTGCTGCAGTATTGTTTTGATTTTAACTTTATTTAATGAATTTAGATACGGTGTTGGATATCATCTTACTCTTGTTAAAGGGAATAATTTCAAGGAAACAAAAACAAAATCCTTATTTGCTGAAAAAATTCCAACATCAAAGTTAGTGAGTAATATTGGTGCAGAGATAAGTTATATATTAGATGAAGAAAATTCAAAGCATTTCAAAGGTCTTTTTTCAGTATTGGAAGGTAAATATGTTTGTTTATATTTATGTGTTTTTATATTTTGTATGCCTTTTTGTAATAGTCATTTACATAGTCTGTAATTTATTATGATAATTCTAATTAATAATTATCATAATGTTATTAATGATATTAACAAACATTATTATTAAGAATCAAATCAAAAATCATAATAATAATAATAGTAATAATAACAATGATAACAATAATTATAATAAAAATAAAACATAAACAAAAATAAGAATATATTTAACAATAAATAAAGTAATACTATTAAAAAATCCTAACTGACCAAAAACATAACAAAAATAAAATAGATATACATATACACACATGCATACACACATACATAAACAAATGCATACAGAAATACACATAGGCGCCTACATACACTCACATACAAATGTATTCATTCCCATATAAATATACAGTTTAAAAAATATATCAGGGTGTCTGTCCGATCAGGGAAAAGTCAGGGAATTCAGATATCTGCAAAAAACATCAGGAAATATTTAAGGATTTTGGGTTCAAAGTTAGAAAAGTAAAGAAGTCAGGGAAAATGGCTCTTTATGAAACTTACGTAATAAGTAAATTGTATATTGTACACATAATGAAAAATTTTTATTCAGCAGAAAAAAAAGTATCAAATACACAACCACATAAACGATGCACATGACAACATAAACATTTCACAAAAATGCACGATAAAAACAATCCTCAAAAATTTTAATTTAAATTAAAAAAAATTAAAATAATAAACTTGAAAATTTTTTTTTTTTTTTCTTCAAAAACGGAGCGGTTTTTATATTTTGTTTCAGTTTTTTTTAACTTTTTTCTATTTTGAAATGTTTTTTTTTTTTTTGGTTTTCATTTGTTTTATTTGAAGTGTGATACTGATTTTGCATACGATTGCTTGATTCTAAGGCTTTCCGCTTCAGTTTCAAAAGACATTGAAACTCAATTCTTGGAATTTAATATGTAATTCCAATATATATACTAGCATAATTTTTTGAAAATAAAATCCTAGTTGTTTCTTTAGTCACAACTATTCTTTTTTGAAATCTAAAAAAGTTTAATAAGATTAGTTTTATTCTTTGTCTTTATTTCTCATTCTAAAAATCACTTTAACCTAAATGGCCATTTGTCTTCCTTTTAAAAGTGTGGTTTTTTTTTTAATAACTAATAGTTGTTTTAATTTTTGATAAATTTATTGCTAAAATAAAAAAACTTTTAAATCCAGTGTTATTTAATTACTTAGAACACATTAAGCTTCATGCTGCAAATATTTTCAAAAAGTGTAGTTTTTTAAACCATCCTAATATATATATATATATATATATATATATATATATATATATATATATATATATATATATATATATATATATATATATATATATATATATATATATATATATATATATATATATATATATATATATATATATATATATATATATATATATATATATATATCAGAGATGTTCCGGGTACCCAGTGATATTTTTTGTTATGCTAGGTACCTGTTAATTATTTGACTTGCTAGGTAATATTAAGAGGTGCCTGGCTAACCCTGAAGGAGCTAGGTAAATTTTTCAAATGATTGGAAACCCTGGAAGTTATTTATGTATGTTTGCCAGGTACCCAGTAATTTGAAATTACCTGGTACACATGGGGTTTTCCAGGTAAACCAGCACACTTAAAAAACTTGCTAGCACATCTGTAGTATATATGTATATATAAGTATATATAAATATCCATATATTGTAATCAAAAGAAACTTTTATGGTAAAAAAAGTCTCTTTCGACTACAATTTTGCTACCTCAACTCTTAAACTGTATTTTATTGTCGTTGAAATGTCAAAGCAATTAAATTAATGCAGAAGTACATTAAATTTTATTGTTTTTTAAAAAAACCGCAATAATAATGACTAGAAAGTTTTTTAATTAATGCTGTTTTTGTTGTTGTTTTATTAAAATATATTTTTAAAACATTCACGGAGCGTTGCTACATCGATTACTTTATAGCCTGACTTGCAACGTAGTACTGCTATATCGACTGAGAGTTTGGTTTTGGCAGGCTGTCTATCATTTAAGAACAAAAAATTAAGTTTTTAAACTTTTTCTGGTCTGGTTTATTAATGCTCTTTTCAGCACAAAATGTGATATTACTTTTAAAAATAAGACAAGTTTTTTAGTTTTATTTAAAAACATTTTATTATTCAATACATGTTTTGACTATATATAGTCATCATCAGTTAAAATATATTTGTTAAAAATGGTATAAAATATAATATATAATTGTAAAAATAAACATAATAAAAGCCATAAAATTGTAAACAAACTTCCTATATATACAAAAAGATTTATTAAAATTATTTTAACAAATGTCAAATATAACAAAAGAAACCGGTAAATCATATTAAATTATAAGAGCCATTTTAACATGGTTTACTTGTTAAAATGACTTTTTTAATTTGGAGTTGCTATGGGTTCTTGATTAGCACCTGTACTTGCTAATCTGTTTATGGGTAATTTTGAAGAAAAATGGGTCATATTTTATAATGGAGAAAAACCGTTGTTTTACAAATGTTAAGTAGATGACATTTTTGCTGCTTTCCCCTCAGAAAACCACGTAATTTAATTTTTGGATTATGTAAACAAAAAACATTCTTTAATATCTTTCAACATGGAAAATTCAAAAATATCTTTTTTGGGCATAACTCTATGTAAGTCAAGCAGTTCAACAATTACAACAGTTTTTCTTCAAAAAATCTTTACTGGATTATTATTTTTTTGTTTTAATTTGCATTCACTCCTAACAAGGCTGCAAGCAACCACTATTAAGTTGGGAGTTAATAGGAAATAAAAGAACAGAGTTATAGAGCAAGGAAACGGTTGACAGAAGACTTGAAAAGTTGAAGGTTGTATGAGTTAGGAAAACATGAATATGGGAGAGAGTTCCAAAGGATTGAAGTGCGGGGAAAAAAACTAGATGAATAAAAGTTTTTAGAGCATGCAGGGACAGATACAGTAAACGAATGAGACTTAGCTGAATGACGAGTAAAACGAGAATTAATTTTAGTTGATGGAACTAGAGATGATAACTCCTTTGAGCAGTGACCATGGTAGTATCTGTAGAAAAGAGAAAGAGATGCAACTTTACGACAATGGGAAAGAGGTTCAAGCTTAGCAGATAGTCCAGGTCCAACAACATTTACAATGTGTTTTTGGACCTTGTCAAGAAGAGAAAGTGAATCGTTAGAAGAACCAGCCTAAATATGACAACAGTATTCCATACAGGGACGAATAAGAGATTTGAAGAGGTAGAGAATGGAATCAGAAGGAAGGAAATGGCGAGCACGATAAAGAGAAGCAACCTTAACAGATGCTAATTTAGCAATTGATTGTATATATGGTTTCCATGAAAGGTCAGTAGTAAGCGATAATCCAAGAAGACGTTAAGAGGAGGACTCAGTAAGAGGATTGCCATTCATTAATATAGGAATGTTGACCATATTACGGTAGTTGTTTGCAGTAAACAACTGGGTTTTGTTAGAGTTGAAATTCACAAGCCACTGTGAACCCCAATCTATTACTGAAGACTGAAGTGAGATAGGATTCAAAATCAGCTGCTTGTTCTAGGCGATCAAAAAGTGAAGACTTTTTGTCAAGACAGGAGTATAAAGTTGAGTCATCAGCAAAAAGAGCTTCTTTAGATGAAAGGTTGTCAGGAAGATCGTTTATGTAGATAAGAAACAAAACAGGGCCAAGGATGGAAGCTTGGGAAACCCCAAAAGTTACTGGAAATAAAGAAGAATGTTGGTCTTTAAGGATGTCTTTAATAAACCGGTTAGAAAGAAATGATTTGATAATCTCAAAAACTTTCCCAGAAACACCATATGAAGCAAGCTTATGGAGAAGACCAGCATGCTAAACTTTGTCGAAAGCTTAAGATATGTCAAGAGCAATAGCCCTAGCCTCACCACCTCCATCTAATGCACGATAAAATCTTTCAGTTACAGCAGTCAGCAAGTTGGCCGTAGAGCGAGAGGATCGAAAACCGTATTGATTGTCTGACAGTAGTTTATTTGACTCAAGATAGTTAGGAATTTTTTGATCAAAGACTCAAAGACCTTGCTAATAACAGAAAGAAGACTGATCGGACGATAATTGGAGGGGTCAGAATTTTTCCAGAGTTTTTGAATATTGGAACCTCAGATGCTATTTTCCAACAAGCAGGAAAACAAGACTCAGTCAAACACTTGTTAAATAGTTTAGAGAGAATTAAAAAAGTTCTGGAGAACAATTCTGCAAGACTGTGACAGGAATGTTGTCAGGACCACAAGCTGTAGATGAGTTTAATTGAGATATGACTTTAGCAACAGAAGCCGGAGTGATTTGAATGTCTAACAATGGGTCAACCTGTTTGACTGGAATGGAAGGAAGAGAATGTCCATAAGATTCAAGAATAGAATTAGAAGAAAAGTTCTTTGCAAATAGTTCTGCTTTATCTTTGGGAAAGGTAATAAGATCAGTCCCATGAATGAGAGATGGAATGTTAGATCTACCCTTGTTAATAATGCTGTTGAAGATTTTCCAAATTAGAGCCTTTAAAGCCTAACTTCTGTGATAAGATGTGAGATTTAGTTAACTGAGAATAATGGAGTTTAGCATCAGAAAGCACCTTTTTACATCGATTTCTTGCAATAATAAATAGCCGTTTGTTCTCAAGAGAGTTGTTCATTTGAAAAAGAATGATTACGATTGGATATAGCAGCTGCACAAGAAGGAGAAAACCATGGAGTAGAATGAGGCTTGACTTGAAACCGACAAGTAGGAATAAAAGCTTCCATTTCAGCCTGAATCCAGGAGGTTTCGTAGAAGGCGCATTTATCAGCTGAGAGAGAAAAAACATCAGCCCAAGGACCATCACGAAGAAAATCACAAAAAGAATCCCAGTCAGCTTTAGGGTAGTAGTAGGTGGTGCGATGATAAGGTGAGCCCAATAAAGAAGTACGAAAAGAAAGATTTATAGAGATCATTGCATGGTCAGAACCACCTAAGGGAGAAAAGGGAGAAACTGAACATAAGCTAGGTTTAGAGACAAGACATAAGTCAAGGAGTGAAGGTAAATTATTAGGGTTGTCAGGAAAACGAGTCACAAAGTTAACTATCTGAGTAAGAGATTGAGAAACGCAGAAGTTAAAGGCTTTAGTGCCAGCAGGATCAGTAGTGTTAGAGCCAAGCCATTCAGTGTGATGGGCATTAAAATCACCAACAACAACAATATTGGCAGAGGGGTAAAGAGAGAGGGCATGGTCAATTTGATCAGAGATAAGAGTGCAATCATGGGAAGAAGGAGAACGATAAAGAACAAAGAGAAAGGTGATAGAGTGAAGAATCAAAGGATTCGAACCTGATTTCACGACAAATAGGGGAATTAATGCGTATGTATACCCCTAAACCTAGCGTGAATTATACACCAACTTTTACAGCTTTACTTCGTTTTCATATAAAATAAGTCTTATAAAATGTTTAAATGATAGAACTTTCAAAATTAAAAAAAACCAACCTTCCAACCTTGGTTTCCGCTATGATATTAAAAATCTTTTCAAAATTCTCAAACGTAATATGTACCCATCTTGGCTAATAGAAAAAAATCCACAACTCTTACTTAAATAAAGATATGTGTTTTTATTACCGTCTGAAGACGTTACAAACTCTCGCTATTTCAAACTCCCTTATATTGGTCGAATATCTGAGCTAACGAAACAAATATTACACGCAATTATAAAGAGACATTGTAAGTCGGTTAACGTAAAGTTAGTATTCACTTCTTTAAAAGTGTTTAATTTTTTTTCATCTAAAGATCACCTTCCTGTAGATTTTAAAACATTCATCGTCTACAAATTTGTTTGTGCAGGATGTAAATCCTGTTATATTAGCAAAACCTCTCGCCACCTAAATTGAAAATGCTTTATTTTAAAGTAAATTGCTTTAGTACTACATCGGGAAGCCCTAAGCATTGATTACTGCTTGACAGTGACAAGGCATTGAGTCCACCTGCTTTATAATCAAAATAATTTTGATATTTCCCATTCTTGTTTCAGAGTATTCAATAAATCATGTTTACTTGTTGGTTTTCAAATTGAAATTTGTCAATCAATGAGTTTACATAGACATTCAATAGAACTTGTCAGGACTTTGCTAAGGCTATTTGATTAATCGAATTTCTTCGGTTTTGAAAAAGTTTTTCACAAGAGTTGAAGTGTGCTTTGGGTCATTGTCCTGCTAAAACATCCTTCCTTGAGACATTTTGTCTTAAGCATGTGGTAACATAACATCTTTAACTATATCTTTGTACATATTTTTGTCCATTTTGCCATCAATCAAATAGACCGATACAATCTCTATTCAAGTTAGCCCAGTTCATAATGTTTTGACCTTTGTGCTTTACTGTTGGTAGCTGGTATTTTGGATCATTTTTATGGCCTTTTGGTTGGACATATTAATATTATCAGATCCAAATAACGTTAAAAGTACTTTCAATCACTGCTCTATTCCCCAATTCAATTGTTCATTAGCAAATCTTAAGCGTTCTTTTCAATTCTTTATATAAATAAAAAGTTTCTTTGTAAGACGTCTTCTGAATAGACTTGCAGACCTCAAAAGACGTTTGACTGTGTTAGCACTACATTTTACATTATAAAGTTTTTTTACTTTAGTATTTACCAAGACAGCATTTTGCAAGCATCTTTTTTCATGGCTCGAGGATGAATTTTTAAGCAGGATAATGACCCAAAAGACACTTATATATATATATATATATATATATATATATATATATATATATATATATATATATATATATATATATATATATATATATATATATATATATATACAAATAGTATTGCGTACTTTAGTAAGCAATCTGACGTCATATTGAAATAGCCGGCTGCTGGGGGCTTCAGTACATACAACGACTGACAAATAAACTGACTCGCAGTGGAGTGCTGCTACATTGACTGAGGGTTTGGTATGGAAAAGCAATCGTTTTATTTATCATTCTTCGTTTTTTTCTTCTTCTTTTTCGAAAAAAACGGTTTACCTTAAAGTAAGCATAAAAAGTGAGCAAATGCTTATCAAATTGCGCTTTAGTAAGTGTATATATATATATATATATATATATATATTTATATATATATATATATATATATATATATATATATATATATATATATATATATATATATATATATATATATATATATATATATACAAGCCTCGGCGGTAATAAATGAGTACAAGAGTGGATAAAACTCCCCTAAAACGAACTTGGGGAGCTGTGCAAGCTGCTCTTTATTTAAATCAGTGCTCTTTTTTAGTTTTAACTTTTTTTTGTAGCAACCGTGCTTTTTAAAAAGCATTGCAGTATATTATGCAATTAATTTTTTTTTAAATGACACTGTGTTTTTTATTTTAGTTACAATGATTATTATACTTTTGTCAGAAAAATCATGCTTTTGCGAGAGCCGTAAATTGCTCCCGTAAACGGTTTTAGGGGAGTATGGGCAAGAGCGAGAGCTAAAGCTCTTGTTTCCCGCCGAGGCTTATATTTATATATATATATATATATATATATATATTTATATATATATATATATGTAAAACTTAAATTGCTAGTTTCGATAAACACTCTGTCACTCTCAAATAGCTTGCTGCCGGGGGCTTCATTACATACATCAACTGACAAATAGCCTGATTTGCAAGGAAGTGTTGCTAGATTGATTGAGGGCTAGGGATATGGCAGCAATCTTTTCTTTTTTTTTTGAAATGCTGTATGCTATAAAGATAAGCAAAACTAGTTCTTATCTAAAGAAGTTATAGAAGATATATATTTCATCTTTTTTTTTATATAGAACAACAACAAGATTATGGTATTTCTAGTTTTGGTGTTTCTGTAACAACATTAGAAGAGGTATTTTTAAAAGTTGCTGAATCTGAAAGTAGTGAACCTGAAGAGTAAGTAGAAATTTTTTCGAAAATTTTCAAAAACTTTTTTTAATTTAATTTAACTATAACATTTTTAAAGAATTTTCAATTTAGTGTTGTTTTGAAAAGTGAAGAAAATTTACAACTACAGTACAATGTCAATAAATTGGAATCGAATTCTCAAATTAGTAAAAATTTGTAGTTAACTATATTTTATTTGGAAAAAAAAAAATATGTTTTTTAAATAATAATAATAATAATGAAAGATTTATAACTAAAGATTACAATATATATTTATAAGATTTATATGATTTTTTAAATAAACTTTATCTTTTTAACTTATTCTTTGTTTACCAATAGAGTTAAACGGTGGCTTAAAGCGATATTTGATTCAATTCCAAGCCATGTTTATAAAGCGCTTGCTACATAGTATTCGAGAGAAAAAAGCTGTGTTTACACAAATCATTCTACCGCTTCTTTTAGTTCTTATTGGCTTATTGTTAGTTACTTCCAGTAAAAATACACAAACAGATGATCCTTTGCTAAAACTAGATCTTTCAATGTTGAAAGACAGATCTAGTAGTTTAGTTGCGTACTTTGCTGATTATACATTTACTCCTGAGTTAAAAATGGTATGTACTTTAGTTTTAAAATTCTGTTATAGAAATGTAGAGGTAAGGTGAACAATTTATTATCAACCAAATGATTTTTGTTGTAAAGAATAAATAAATTAAAAGTTGCTAATCAATAAATAAAATTTGATGTGATATTTTTATGAATAAAATAGTATAAAGTTTTATAAATATAAATAATTTCTTTATTTATAATTGTATAATTTGTTTTAGATGAGTTTAAACTACTACAAACCAATAGGTGTTGATCTCCAAGACATTACTATTCAATCAGCTCAAATTAGTTTAAGCAATCAAGTTAATAATGTAAATCTTCTTTACACATCTCCTACTTTTTCTGGAAATAATGATGAAGCGTGTTGTCAGTTCAAGTATTTTGTTTTAAACCAAGGGTGTCAAAACAAAGTAAGTTTTAAATGGTTTATTTTTTCCCTTTCATTAAGTCTGTAAAAAAATTTGTTTTTTGAAAATATGGTAAGCATTATAAATTTGATTTAAAAAGTTCTTTTGTTAAAATAAATTAAAAAATAATTTTTAAATTATATGATCATTTTTTTTGTTATAAATTATAAGATATTTTTTGTAAAATAATTCAAACCATATAAATAATATTAAATTATTTTTTTAAGATTTTGGCAAATGCAGATTTAAAAACAAAGTGTCTTGCTTTAAAAAACACATTTGGCTACAGCAGTTGTCCTCAATGCGTTGAAATTAATTCTACATTGTGCGTATTGTATTTTCACATAACAATTGTAAAATTAACGTTATTTAACTAAATATTATTGTCATCTTTTAGTTGTGAAATAATTCTACATTGAGCGTATTGTATTTTCACATGATAATTCTACATTGTGTGTATTGTATTTTCACATAATAATCATAAAATTAATGTTATTTAACTAAATATTATTGTCATCTTTTAGTTGTGAAAACAGTACACCGGAACTATCAAGGATTAATCTAAATGATAAAAATGTTTACTATCAAGAATATATTTTGGAAGACAGTGGTAAAAAACTGTATGATTACTTTCAGAAATATGTTGCTGGTTTTAGTGCTTCTAATAAAAAATATTCAGTTTGGTATAGTAACCAGGTACTATTTCTCATATTTTGAAAATAAATATGTTAATAACATTTTGAAAATGAGCAGCTTTGTATTAAATTTATGTTTATGAACTTAATTATAAAATGTATAAAAACCTTTTTAAAGTCTATTTGTGTTACTATGGTTACACTAAAGTTTCAAGCTTTAAAAAGTAGTTGTCTGTTGTTAAATGAAAGTAAATCCCCATTATTAACAGTGTTGCCTTATCAAAATTTTTTATGTGCGAAAAAAGCAAAACATTTACTGTTAGCTTTACTACATAAATGTTTAATTTGTTTGCTTTATAATGCAATCCTGAAACATTTTACCTTACTAAAAGCAAAAAGTTCTTACATAATAAATTATTGCAAATTTAATATGTTTCAGGATTGCATTATAAAGCAAACAGAAAACTTATGTAAGTATGTTTAAGACAAACTATTTTTTTTTTTTCAATCACATGTAAATTTAAAAAAACTGAGAAAATTAATTTACATGTGATTGAAGCAAAAAAATTAATTCGTCATCAGGGTCAATTATTTTAAGACATTGCATTTTTTTCAAAAAATTATTGTAATCCTAAGCATCTTTTAAAAATAAATAGATAAAAGTCTTATAAAAGACTTATTAAAATAAAAAAATATATTTATTAAAATAAAAATAAATATATTTACAATTTTTTGTTTGAAAAGAATGAAGTTTTAGTTTTAGATTGTTTTAGTTTTAGAATCTATTGATTAGAATTGTTTGTTTATATGATCAAATGTTTTTTTTACAGGGATGGCACACTATAGCAGCTGCATTCAGTTCTGGGAGCAATATTCTACTAAAGTTTTTTACAAATAGTAGCGATTATGGAATTGTTACTAACAATTTTCCACTGCCTAGAAACACACTAGAACAGGTATTAATGACAATTTTTTATATTTTAAAAGATATATAAATATATAAATATGTATTTTTTAATGTAAAAGAAAATTTTGATTACATAGTTATCTTTTTCAATTAATAATTTTTTGGATATGTTTTTTATGTATGCAAGAAAAACATTTTTACATTTAAATTTTTACTTATATTTTAGATTGAATTAACAGCACGGAATGGTTCAAATTTGTCCTTAGTTATATTTATTGCCATGGCTTGTTCATTTATTGCTGCAAGCTTTATTACATTTATTGTTAATGAAAGAACTTCAAAAGTAATTTAAAATGTTTTTATTTAGTTTTGGTACAAATTCAAATAAAGGGTCGTCCATAAATTACATCATGCTTAGGAAGGAGGGGGGGGGAGAAAGGTAGGCAATTTTGTGACGATTTGTCATGAGGGGTCTCAATTTTGTGACGCAAATTTTTTTTTTTTTTTTTTCAGAGAAGTTGTTCTTTTAATTAAAAGAGTATCTGACCAAACCAAAACGCTCAGTTGATGTATCTACATGTTGATTGTAATATTAACTAGGCCTAAATCTTACTTAGTCGATGTGTACACTCCGTTACAGCCTGTTAATAGTTACAGCCTGTTAAAAGATTATTGTGGCTGTTTGTGCAGTGCATGTTCTGCGCTTTGAATTTATATGGTTCAAGTGCAGAACTTTATTTAGTTGTTGCACAAAAGTGTGCAGCAACAAAAAAACAATCTTTGTGCAATAACTGAAAAAAAAAAATTTCGATACCGAGAAACGAACCTTGAACCCTTGGTGTATTAGCCAGAGGCAAAATCCACTTGACCACGCTTAAGTTTCTAGTACACAGAAAATTGTATATATAAATTAATATTTTTGCATGTATAATATGTTTTTATTCATTAAATATTTTATATATATAATATTTTGCATATATTATATATCAGAAAAATAGATTTTTACAATTGGTATCATGTTTAGGAGAGCGATATTAATTTTTTACAATTTTACACAGAACTATTGGTCAAAAAATGTCAAAAATTGCGTGGCGTAATTTATGGATGACCCCTAAGTAAAGTATATAAGTATATAAAGCAAAATTTGATTTTTGATTATTCAAATAATTTTTTTTATTATTGTTTTCAGGCAAAACACATTCAGTTTGTAAGTGGTGTAAACTCTATTTGCTATTGGCTTGGAACATTTTGCTGGGATTTTATAAATTATTTAGTCCCTGCATTAGGAATCATCATTTTATTTGCAGCTTTTAATCCTTCTGACTACACAGGTCAACTTGGCGCTATTGTATTGATTTTAGTAAGTAATTTAATTTTTATTTAATACTTATAAATTTATTTTTATTATATTTGATTTTTAAACAATTTAAAATACTACATCAAAAACTTTGTATTTAAAACTTTTCTGGTAAAAGATCTATTGAAAAACAAAAGAAATAAATTCCAAAAGTTTGACAAATTTCAATCTTTTTATTCTCCATATTTTACTTTTTTTTTTTTTTAGATTCTGTTTGGATTAGCAGTTTTACCATTTACATATTTGCTTGGCTTCTTGTTTACAAACTCTTTGATTGCTTATTCAGTTGTTGCTCTCCTTCTCATGGTTATCAGCTTGGTAAGAACTTTAACTAATTTAAAGATTGGTGAAAATTGTTCAAAAGAAAAAAATTTTTTATCTTATTTGTGTTAATGTTACTAAAAACAAATAGCTAGTATTTTTTTTAATTATCAAATTTTGAATTTTATTATAAAAAATTATAATGAAGTATTAATAATTTTATTATAAAAAATTATAATGAAGTATTAATAAAAATAAACAAATCATAGTTGTATTAAATTGTTAATAGATAACAATACAATAAGTATAAATAAGAAAAAATTAATAAGTATAACGAAAATTCAAAAAAGTATCCAATTAGTTACACCAAAATTAAATGTTCAAAGTATATGAACATTTTTTTATCTAATTATTTAATCATTTTAAAAATTTCTTTATAACTTTACATAATCAGATTCAATATCACCCATACAGTTAAAGTCATTGGAGTGACACCTTAATAAAATAACAAATAAAACCAACAAACAAACCAAAAAAAAAAGTAATAATAAAGATACTTAACTAAAAAAAAATTGAAAAATAAAAAATAAAAAAAATGAGGAACATTTAAAAAAAGTTGGCATCTAAAATGTTCTAAGATTAATAATTAATTTTTTTTTTTTTTTTTTTTTTTTTTTTTTTGATGAGGGGGGGGGGAGGAGGGGATGGCATTAATAATCAAAAATTGACATAATTTCTAAATATTAAAATAAAATAAAAAAAATGAGTTCAATCAAGTAATAGCAACAATTATAATAAGTAAAAATGCCACACAAAAAATGCGAAAAAATATCACAAAAAATTTTTGATGAAAAAATCTAAGGCATTTTTTTAATTATTATTAAAGTTCTTTTTTTATTGTTGTTTTCCATTTTCAAATTTCTTACACTTTTTTTTACAAATTTCTTGCAATTTTGCTTTTAGTTGTTTTTTTTTTTAATTTTCTTCAATCTTTTAATTTATAATCTTTAATATTTCCCTTTTTTATTTATTATTATTATTTTTTTTAATCTTCTTTTCTATATAACTTTCTTTATTTTTCCTTTTCTCACTTATCTTTCTACTTTTTGCTAATCAAAAAAAAGTTCAATTAATAATTTATATAATACGTATGTAAATTCATTCAAATACACATTTTTTCAACCTGTAAATTCACTAAATTTACCTAAAATAAATGAAAGGAATTATCTAAAATAGTTTTACCAAATTTTTTTCCTCTATAAACTCTATAAGTCTATATATTTCATAGAAATCTAATTTATCAAAAAACACCTGTTCAGTTTTTAGTTTTTATTTTATTGTAGGCTATGGTAATTGCTATATTTGTGTTGCGATTAATTGATGAAGTTCCATTGGCTGACAAATTAAACTTATTGTTTGCTGTGATTCCAACTTATGCGTGAGTTACTTTTGTTAATTCTTAAAAATTTTTTTCTCTCTTTCTCTCTTTCAAAAACATAAATTTTATTTTAGATTGCCACAAGCTTTTTCTGATATTTCATCAAATCTTGGTAAAAAGACGGCTTGCACTGTGAATTCAATGTTAGTTTTTTAAAATCATTTTCTGTAACACTTTGCATTAGTATTTTATTTTTATTTTCAGAATATATATAAATATAACATAGAAACTTCTTTTAGGAGTTTTTTTTTTCATAATATAAAAATACTTTTTATAAGTAATCTTTTCAACCAAATCAATTTTTTTTTTCAGAGCAAAAAAATTTTATATAAAAATGTAAAAACTTGTTTAAAACTTGTTTTAAATAATCTATATTACTATTTATAATTTAATTTTTTTGATAAGGGTTTTTTCTAGTAGATAACTGCTGTTTTTTAAATCTATATATAATTTTTTTTCTCTCATTTTTTTATTATTAGTTCTTTCTTCTTCCTTGAATCTAAACTAATGTTCTTTTTTGTTGTTGTTGTTTTTGTTTTGTTTTGTTTTTCTTTTCTTTTTTTACTTTATTTGACATTTTTAACATTAAAAATAAGTTTTGTTTTAAATGTCATATGTTTATTTTGTTTTAAATGTTATATGAAGTTTTTTAAAATTCTACAAACTATTGTATATAAGCTCTAAACTAAATATTTAACTAAATTTGAAATAAATATTTATATGCATATAGAACGGAGCGGAACTGTCGTGCAAACAGCATAGTATATTTTGATAATGTTTTAACATGGAGTTACCCAGGAATTGGATATTTATGCTTTTACATGTTTGTGGAATTTGTTGTTTACTTTACTATTGTTTTGCTCATTGAGGTAAAAAGTTATCCAAAAGTGTTCTATAATTGTTATTTTATATTATAAATTATTAAATTACCGATTGGAAGTTGTTAAGTTTGACCAATAAATAAAGAAAATAATTGTTTAATATTTTAAAATAAGATAATTGTTAAAAGTTTAAAAAATTGAAGTCTAAAAAATGTGTAATGCTTTTTGTTATTTTAGACCATATATATAAAAAAATGGTTTTCTTGTTTTCAATGTAATCAAAAATGACATTTAAAAAAAAGTTTATAGCTGATTAATGTAATATAATTATAATTTATACAATAATTATAGTTAAATATATAATTTAATATTATAATATATAATATTTAAAAAAATTCCAAAACTTTTTTTTAATGACTTAGGTAAAAACAAAATAATAACTTTTTTGTTATTTAGCTAAATTATTAAGAAAGAAAGGATGTCATACTATAAAACAAGCTATTCCTCTTCCCCCCTTCGTTTATAAGAACTTATAAAAATACAATTATGAAATTCAAATCTTGACTAGCAAGGCTGAGAGAAACATATTGTTATTGTTTTTTATTTGTCCAGTGGTAACAATTAACAATAATGCAGCAAGTAAAGTAATAAAAAATATATTAAATTGTTTTTATAAATTTGTAATTCTTTTAGGAGGGGTTTTTTGTTGGAGGTTTGTTTAAAGCAACTGCTACAGTTTCTACCATTCGAGATGGCGAGGTATTTTTTATATTAAACAAGTTTTAAATTAATTGTTTTGCACCTTATTAAAAATTATTTGTTAAATTTTTTGGTTTGTTTTATTTCAAGTTATTACAAAAAAAAAAAGTTGTTTTTCCATTTTGCTTTTTAATATTAGTCCTGACAAAATCAACTAATCATTACAAATAAAAACCTATATAAGAAAGAACCTAATATAGCTAATATATAAATAATATAAACCTAAACATCACTAATCATTACAAATAAAAACCTATATAAGAAAGAACCTAATATAGCTAATATATAAATAATATAAACCTAATATAAACCTAATATATAACCTAATATAACCTATATATAAACCTATATAAGAAAGAACCTAATATAAAAAAATTTTATGCCTAAATATTTTAATTTCAAGGATGAAGATGTTCAAGCAGAAAAAAAGCGCGTTGACATGATGGCCTATGAGGATATAAAGTCTCATGCTGTTGTGGTGAAAGATCTTTCTAAAGTATGTTTAGTACAACTTTTTTTTGCCATGTTTGTTACAACTCTTATTACCATATTATTGTTATAATGACAATTTTACCACAATATTATTTGTGCAATGACTTATAAATATTTATAATATTTAGAAGACCATTTTATAATGTTAATGGCCACACCCATGTTATTAAATTATTTAAAGAACCTATACTCAATAGTATACTGAGTGGATTTTTTTGTTTTTCTGTTATTTTGTTATGATTTCTATTTTTTACGGTTTCAAAGTGTTATATAAATAAACAGTGTAATATCAATTATACTACTTTTAAAATAAATTTAAAACTACTTATGAGGATTTGACTTTTTTATCAAGGTTTTTTTTTTAGTTTTATAACATCTGAAATTTTCAGCTGAAATTGTAAATAAAAAAAGCACACAAAGATAAAATTAACAATAATTATAATAATAATAATAATAATAATAATAATAATAATAATAATAATAATAATAATAGTAATAATAATAATATAGTCATTAAAAGTATTTTAAATGAAAAGTATAATATATAATAGACTGGAGCAATTATATTTGCTGTCATCTATTATATAAATTTTGTTATATATTGTAGTAATTAAAAAATAAATTTTAGTTACAATATTCTAAAACAGTAAAACAATAATTTTTTATTCCTAATTGATAATAATAAAAAACTAATCAAAATCTAGACTTAAAAGTTTAAATAATTTTTTAATTTTTTTTTATTTTGCTTTTTGAAATTTTGTTATTAAATTTATATAAAAATAATTTTTTTATCAACTATGTATTTTATAGTTATTTTGTTTTCATATTCACATACACTAAAACAAAATATACATATCACTAAAACAAAACATAAAACATCAATAATAACAACAGTCATTATATATAGTTTGCTTCTCATTTAAAACAGGAAAAAAGGGCTTGTTTTCAAGGGGTTACTAAAATCCTGAAAAAAATATTTTTATATTGTATTCTAACACTACAATACACAGTGGGTCAATATGTATATATGTATATATATAATATATAATATATATGTATGTATATATATATATATATATATATATATATATATATATATATATATATATATATATATATATATATATATATATATATATATATATATATATATATATATATATATATATATATATATATATATATATATATATATATATATTATATATATATATATATATATATATATATATATATATATATATATATATATATATATATATATATATATATATGTATATATATATATGTATATATATATATGTATATATATATATGTATATATATATGTATATATATATATATATATATGTATATATATATGTATATATATATGTAACAATCTCCAAGAACAACTCCTTGCCTTATATTTGATTAAAATGACTCAATTCAATTCTAAAGAACAAAGTCTTTAATTTTATTAAGTTTTTTTTGAAGAACTTGATCAAATGCTATAAGTCAGTAAATGTTAGTAGGATATCATTCACCTATTACTCATTGGTAAGATGTTGGTAGGATATCGTTCATCAATTAATCATGTTAAAATATCTTCATTTTCAGGTAAAAAAAAATTCTTGGTAAATAATTTTGCCAATTTTTACTTATTAAACTATCTAAAATATAACTTTACTTCTAGCAAAAAAAAGAGGAAATTTTTTTTTTTAAAGTTTACAAGTTTGAGTTACAAGCTGTTTATATTTGTATTTGAAAATTGGAACTGTGTTTGAATCCATGCTTTTTCTACAACTTCTGATTTAATGAATAGTTCTAAATGTGTTCAATAGTAATTCTAAAACATTTAGCTCAGATACTCAATACATACAGATTAACTTTAATGTTTTCTTTATCCAATTTTTTAGATCAAAAATTTTTATTCCACCAAAATGCATTTTTATTTTTTTTCCTTCTTATATATTGCTTTATTTCAGATAAAGTCTACACTTGTCCTGGTTGTCTATAATTTTAATATCACATGCCACTTTATATGTTTCTAAAAATCATAAATCGTAACACTCATTGGTATTTCTATTACTAAATATTGCTTTCCACTTGAGAATTTTTAATAGATAAGACAGTGTTTTTTTTGTCTAATTAGTGTTTACTAAATAATTCCATGAAATTATTAGTGTTTACTAAATAATTCCATGAAATTATTAGTGTTTACTAAATAATTCCATGAGATTATTAGTGTTTACTAAGTAATTCCATAAAATTATTAGTGTTTACTAAATAGTTCCATGAAAAAGTAATGTGTGCATAACTAGAGGTGGGTTATATTCAAGATTAAAAACACGATTTGAATTTTCTCTAAATATAAGATCACATATACTAGTATATACTAGTAGATTCAAAAAGTTGGAAAGAAAATATTTTTTTTTTAATTAAGCTGCTTGTGTTTGAATTTTTAGAGTTTTTTTGCATAAACTTAATAACATCGCACCTAACTCAGCATCACACATAGATTCTATGAAAACATGGATGTGTTCTGTAGCACCACATAAACTCTATTTTTAAAATGCATTTTTTTTTTAATATTATAGGTGTATCATTCAAATGGAATGGTTGCTGTTGATCATTTAAGTTTTTCTATACCTAAAGGAGAATGTTTTGGCTTGCTTGGTGTTAATGGTAGATATGCATATTTTAGCATATTTAATACTTTTTGAGTTTATAAAACATATAGTTTACTTTATTTTTAATACACTTTTTTACTATATTTCTTTAATGTTATAAATATACATTTTATTAAATCATATATTTCAGGTGCTGGTAAAACTACAACTTTTGGTATGCTGACTGGTGAGCTAAGCTTATCATCTGGGACAGCTTTTTTGCATGGTTATAACTTGCAGACTCAACTTAAAAAAGTTCAACAAAGAATTGGTTATTGTCCTCAGGTCTATATAATGGTTTTTACATCTCAATTGTTTTTTTGTATTTCATAAATTTTAGCTTAATTTTTGAACTTTTGTTACATTAGTTTGATGCACTGATTGGTCGAATGACTGGTAGGGAAATGCTTAGAATGTTTGCACGTCTGCGTGGGGTGCCATCTAATAATCTTGAAGAAGTTGTAAATGCAGCTATTGAACAGCTAAATCTTTCTGCATGGGCTGATAAAATGTGTGGTGATTACAGGTAAATATGGAATATTAGTAAATTGTTTTGCTTTTTATTAAATTTAAAGTAAATTGTTAAATATATTTTTAAAAAATATTTTAAGTTTAAATTTTAGATTTAAAAAAAGTTCAGAATATTTTTGTTTAACCTAATTGCTTTTTTATTCAAGCTATTCTTATTTTTTTTTATTTTAATTACTTAGTGGAGGCAACAAGCGCAAATTAAGTACAGCAATTGCGATTGTTGGAGACCCAGCCATTGTATTTTTAGTAAGTTGACGTAATAGTTCATCTATATTTTTTTTCATTCCACCCATATTCTTATAACTAATTTATAATGTATATCAAAGGATGAGCCAACGTCTGGTATGGATCCAGTTTCTAGGAGATTTTTATGGAATACACTTATTCAAAAACTCAATGCAGGTCGATCTATTGTTCTTACCTCACACAGGTTGTTTGCTTTTTATTGCTTTTATAAATTTTTACAAAAAAAATTAATTTATTTTTGCTTTTTTTAAACTTTTTTTTTTACATTCAAAACAATTTTATAGTATGGAAGAATGTGAGGCATTGTGTACACGCCTTGTAATCATGGTTAATGGTCAATTTAAATGTATTGGAAGCATTCAACATTTAAAAAGTCGCTTTGGTAAAGGCTACAGTGTCATGATAAAAGTAATGACTGATCAGACAAAACAAAATGGTAATCATTCATATATATGTAGAGTAAAGAATTTATATTTATGTATTCTGCTGATTTATGTTTGCATTTTGGTGTATGTTTGCACTTTTTTTGTTAAACTTTTCTTTTGAGATAAAGTATTCAATTTATCTTCTAACAGAATAGGTTTGACTATTGCTTCATTATCCTGTTGTTGACTGATTTATTTAATCTTGTTCCCTTTAGGATTGTTTAAAGGCATTTTGTAGCATTTTAATTAGCTTATCATATTTTAGTTTTCATTGATTGTCTTTTAAAATTTTTATAAAATAACAAATTTGTTGTGTTATTCAGCTAATTTATTCAATATAAATACTTTTTTATAATTATTTTATGTCTAAACATACCAATTTGGAATGTAGTTTGAAAAAATAAAATTAAAATTTTTTATTTATATTGTTAGATTATTTTATATATAACATGATTTGAATAAGGTTGTTTTTTTTAATTTATTTTAGGAATTGCATTTAGCAAAAACAATCCTGCATATTCCTCAGAAAATAATGAAACCATATATGATCTTGATACAGTACAACTGCATGGAAATCAGCTTGAGAAGACTCAACGTATCAAAGAATTCATGGAAAACACTTTTCCAGGATCTATGTTAATTGAAGACAGACAGGTTTAGTAAAGTATATGTTGTATGAGTTTACTTGTATTTATTGGGTGGACTTTAAATTGAGATTTCTCTAAAATTATAAATGCTTTTAATTTAAATTTTTTTTATTATCAAATGTGTTTACATTAGTTAAAGTTTCAACTTAATTTTAAGGGGCTTGATGAGCTGTTTGGCAAGAGATCAAATTTTTTAGCGGGTTTGTAGCCATTGTTTTGCAGATTTTTTTCTTTTTTTACCTTATTGGTGGCATTAATCCACTTTTTATGGAAGTCCTTTTTATTTTTTGTTGCTCGACCTGTCTTACAAAGAACTCCTTTAACTATTGCCCAAAAATCTTTATTCTTGAGCTCTTCAGGACGATTTGGAGGATTTGCATCTTTAGGAGCAATTTTCACATTATAATCTTAGCACCACTGTAGAACTTTTTTAGAATAGTGAGAAGCAGCAAGATCTGGGAAAGAGACATCGGTATTTGTGTTTTTTTATAAATGGCAAAAGTCTTTTTTGGGGGCATTCTTTGATGTAGAGATCGGCATTCAAGGTCTTCTTAGTGACAAAACAAGAGGACAACTACATACTTGCATACCACAACTACAAATTGCTTGCCACACAAGGAACTTGAATGTCAATTTTTCTTGTCAAATATATTTAAATTGATCATCAATAGGTTTATCTTTGTTCTCATAGTAAACTTTTTGACCAGGAAGTTGTGAAAAATCTGCCTTGCGATAAGTTTCGTCGTCTTTAATTATGCACATACTTTTATCTGTCATTATTTTAACCAACTTCTTTGCGCGTTGATTTTTTTAATTTCACCATTTGAGCTTCTCTCAGGTGTATTTTTCTTATGAAATGCTTTAATTCCAGCATTTTTGTGATATTAGAACTTGAAATCTTGAATTTTCTTGCTGATCATGCTGTGACTGGTTTGGATTTCTAGCTATTGAACATAAAATCAACTTAACCTTTTTGGATTTATGGAAAGTTTTCTTTCTTCCACTTCCAGGTTTTCTTTAGAAGCTTTGAGTAGTCTTGAACTTATTTATAATATCTGTGACTGTATATTTTGGGACATTTATACCTTTAGCAATTGAGCGATTTGAAGTCAATATATTTTTGCAAATAAACTTCACAACTTTTTTACGCACATCAATTTGTTTCCAAAACATTTTGCAAATCATTGATTTGTAAACAAAATTATCAACACAATTTAAGATAAGGAAGTAACGTTTAGTTAAAAAATAAAAGAAATAAAAAGCATTTGTGGTTTTAGAGAAATCTCAATTTAAAGTTGACTGGATTTTTCTGTGTCCACCTGATAATTAGATTTAATTAAACTTATTCAAAATATTAGAAGGAGAGTATACTAAAAAAATAAAGTTTTTGTTATATAGTATAAACATTCTTGTTTATCATATGTTAATAGGGCTTACTTCAGTATCAGATATTAAATTCTGACATTCGGTGGTCCCAGATGTTTGGAACTCTAGAAGAGAACTCTGCTCGCTTGGGTATTATAGACTATAGTGTCAGTCAAACTTCATTGGAGCAGGTGATACAGATTTTTTTTTTAATCTAGTTTTAATTTTAGTTTTTATTTTAATTCTAGTCTTAAGCTTTTTTTACTTTGTTAAAAATATTTTTTACATAAAGAGTTTTTCAGAATATAAATAGTCAATAATAGTTTAGTTTATAATAACTTTATAATAAATTAATTTTATTTCATAGTTTATTTTATAATAACTTTATTTTAAATTTATATTTTATTTCATAGTTTATTTTCTATTTTTATGACTTAATAATTAAAAGAGTTTTAATTACGTTGATTAAACCTTGAATCATGTAAAGTTGAAATTTCAGTTTGTTCAATCATGACTTAGTTATGGCAAGATAAGTTTTCTTATGAATAAATTATTGTCAGAGATTTTGATACAAAAAACAATGTAATGTAAAATGTAAAACTAATGTAAAGTTACATTTTCAGAGAGATTTTTTGTGGTATCTTAAAAAATGCTCAGAATTTTGATCACTTTTTTTGCGCATGTTCAATATGTGGCATCAAAAGGTGGTTTAGGTGAAAAATTTGTTCAAGAAAGTATAATAGTGAATTCCATTGTGTTGAAACATTCATTTTTTAAATTCAAGTTTGTTTTTTTTATTCATCTGATTGTATTGATGTTTAATTTGCATAAAATTTAGTGCAGGTCATTGATGTTTAATTTGTATAATATTTTAAAGCAACCCACTATGTTTCAAAAAAAACCTTTGTGTAGACATACGTGTTACAAGCAAACTTTTTGTTGATATGAGATATGTATATGAAAAGAATTTGAAAAGTGAAAGGTGTCACTTAATTTTTATGATTGTGTCAAGTGGTATAATGTAATAGTCCCTCATAGCAAAAATATTTTATTTGTTATTTTTCAAATATTTTGTACCAGTAGAAAGAATTTTAAATAAGCTTTCAAAATCAAACAAAAAACATGTTGAAAATGTTTACTTCATAAGATAAATGGCATTATGTATTTTATCAAACTGGGGAACAATTACCACTAGATAAAACATTTTTCATAAATAAAGTAGAATTAAAAAGATTGAGCATATATTAAAACTGGCCTAGTATAAACATACAAACATTATATGTAAACCGAAAAGGTATTTGCGGTTTATAATGTTTAATTGGAAATTTAATGTTCAATGGAAAATATTTAATTGATAGTATTAAGTTGATTAACCTATTTTAATATTTAATTGTTAAATTATGAATAATATCTACTTAATGAAGTGCTTCAATTATACGAAGATTTCATTCTTAGATTTAAACTTTCTAAATTTTGGAAATATATGTTAAAAATGATGTGCTTACAAGCTAGTATTTATTAATAGACTATATAATTAAATTATGTCTTCTAAATTTCTACTGTCATAGTCATACATGTTTTCTTTTGGCAGTCTACATTATTATTTGTACGTCAGTTACACTTGCAAATATCAGTACAAACAAGTTCAATTTTCAAACATTTGTACCTTTTATTACTACAGTCTCTTTTACAATGACAAACGCTTAACTCAATAAGTGTGATTGGTGCTAGCAGGTTATCAGTCATAATGGGGGTCAAGAGATATGTTATTTAATTTCCAACCATACTCCATAGGCGATGGTAGATACTATATGGGCATGTTAGAGTGTTTTAGCACTAAACTTGGGACTTGATAAAAGTGAACTAAAAGTTGAATAATGTCAGTATCTTGTGAATGCTCAATACATTTTTTTAAATGGGTTTTTTTTTACTATGTCTATGAAATGCAGAATTTACAGAATGTCAGTCTCTTCGTGATCATGATTCATCCTTTTTGCAGACAGATGCAGATCTGATTCATCCTTTTTGCAGACAGATTTCTTTTTGATGTGTTTGAATATGTTACAATATAGCGAATTGCGCTATCTTTACTATTTTTTTATATTTTGCAAGTTATTTGGTAAGAGCTTGCTTGGTTTGAATGTGCCCTAATAACTGCTTTAGGGACTTATTAAAAATTATAGTCCATTACTTGTATTTGATTTCATTACCAGAATTGCATTTTTTTTTTTAAGACTTTGATGACTGTTCAATGTATCTTTCAAAAACCAATCTTTTCTTGTTGCAGTTTTTGAGATGCATACTATTAAATATTTCAGCTAAGTCCTGAATAATAAAAAAAATATAAATATTACTGTTGTGTAACACATACGCACGATCAAGGTACAGAATACAATGCTACTATTCATTTTAAATATCATAAGCCATAGCAAAACCATCTTCTTTTTAATTTAAATTGACTAAACTAATAGTTTCTATATCTGTGATAACCCTTCCAATATCATTGCTGTTACTCATTTTTTTACAATCTTCCTGGCAAACTATGTATTTAGTAAAATCAAAAATAAGTTTTCTCCATTTGTTAATAATATTTATTTTGCAAAACAACAATACAATTTGATATTGGTTTCTCACAGCATAGAAACATATTTAGAAACCGAAAACAAAATCAAAACATTATAATTGTTAGATTCTTACAAGTAGAATTATGCAAAATTAAAATAACAATATCAAAACATTCAAAATGATGCAATCGTAAAGCTATTTCATCAAAATAGATATAATCTTGTAAAAATTCGGAGGTTAAAAAAAAAATATATTTTGTCTGAAATTTGTTTTACATAGTATAATTTTTATAATAACAATTATTTATTAAAATATAATTAAAAGCAGATTGCCAAAAACTCAGCATTCAAAACAATGTTTTAATAATTTATTAAAATCACAAAGCACTGGCTTTTTATTAACCTCCAGTTTAATAAAAATCTTTTTACCCAATATCTCCTAAAGTAAAAAATTTCAACATGTTTTTTTTTTTTTTTGAACACCTGACTGATTGATTGAGGGTAAAATCATATAGATAACTAGGTTGTCTCTATAATCAACATTAAATTTCGTCTGTTAAAGCCTGTTTTAGACTTGATCCTCAGAAATATATTTGCAACTCATTAAATTTGCATGTCAAGATGAATTACGTTTGCTCCTAATTTTAAAGATAAAATGTATAGTTAACCCAATGTTAACTATCGATGTTTCTGCATCTTTTACTAACAAACGATCTTTGTGTTAACATAATACAACAGGCTGTACCTATAAGATTCTTTACTTGGAATTTAAAGACTAGATTATACCTGATATGTGTAAACTATCAAGATCAGCTTTTTTTTTAGGTTTAGAGTTGTTTTTTGGAATGGTTTCGAACCATTCAGGATTTGTATTTTGAAGTATTTCTGCTTTCTGTTTTACAGATTTTATGTTAAAAGTAGTTTGTTTCTTTTTTTTTTTTTTTGTATTAATTCAACTTTTTTATTTATTTATTTGGAAATTCTTTGGGCGGTAAAGATGATTTCGGTAATTGAAGAATGGGGTGTTTTTAAATTTGTGTTTTTTGGTTATTTGGTTAGAATTTCTATTTCATATTTAGCAATAGCAAATTTAAAGTCAGTAATTAAAATATTAAAAAATTTCTAAACCTTATTTTCAATTTTTATCTTGGACATGAAACAAAGTTCCTTCTTCGTAGACCAAACTTATATTTTTTAAAACTTATATTTTTTAAAACTTATATTTGTTAAAGTCACAAATAAAAGAGTAATGATAACCAACAATTTTCATAAGTTTTTTAAATTTTATTTAGAAATTAAATTTTATCAGATATTAAACATTTTCAACAAACACTTTGATAAACAAAAATATGTTTAAACAAATGTCTATCTGGATTTAAAGTTTATAATGGCCACTAAAATGAATGCAAATACAAATACTTTAATAAACAAGATAACAAAATTGTAAATATAAAGCACAAATTTAAAATATGTTATTTAACACGATAAAATTAGATTTTTAAAAATTTAAACTGTACCATAAATTAAATAGACGAGGCAAATCTAATAATATTATTAATAGAAAAGTTACTAAACAAATATACATTTTATTGTAATAAATATATTATATATATATTTTGTATATAAGTATATTTTGTATATAAAAATATATTATACTTGTATATAAAATATATATTGTAATACTTTATATATAGGAAATAGTTGTGTGATGTTTTATTTATATATATATATATATATATATATATATATATATATATATATATATATCGTCACATTAGAATTATAGGGTTCTATCTGCCTTTTTTTATGTTGTGAGAACTTAACTTTCAATATTTATTTAATACATGTTTTACAACTGTTAGTCATTACAATTATAAATTATAAGTTGTTTATGTTATCTATATTTCATTATTTAACATATTTTATATTAAACCATTTAAAAAATGATATATAATATATCATTTTTTAAGTGTTTTTTTTTTATTGTTTATTATTATTTAAAACTTTGATTGTTAAATTCTTTCAACATAAAACAAGGCAGATAGAACCCTATAATTCTCATGCGACGATATATATATATATATATATATATATATATATATATATATATATATATATATATATATATATATATATATATATATATATATATATATATATATATATATATATATATATATATATATATATATTAGATTTATTTTTTTATAGGTGTTTATCAATTTTGCGAAATATCAACATTCGGAAGAAAGAGCAAAGAGAAATGTTTGTTGCTCATGTTCATGTTTTTAAATGTTTGTCGCGTGCGCGCCTTTTTTATTTTAATCGATTTATGAAATTGTTTGTGTGATTCTTAAGAATCTCCAAAATTTTGTTTTTTGGTTAGCAACATTTCTGTTTGACGCAATCGACCGTATTTATTCTATTTAAACACAACTCATAATATTTTCATGTGTTTTAAGTTTTTTTATATGTACATTAATCCAGTATTTTCTAAACTTATTTATTGTTTAATATTTATTTGTGATATTTATTTAATATCTTACACTTTCAAGAAAGTGATGCAAATAACTTTTATTTGGGGGTGAGTTTTTATAAAATGTTTAAACACGATTATTTAAAAATACTTTTTTGTTAAACCATTGTAGACTTCGATAAATCAAATTATCTAGAAAATAGTTTTTTGTAAAATAATTTATGCGTATATTTTTTTAAACTGATCGGGTAAAATGTGTGTATTATTTATAAGTATTACGCAATAAGCAAAAAGTAATTCAGTCTAGAATAAAGCATTCTACATCTTATGAGAGATATATTAAAATGAATAGAAGCAGAGTCTGTTCCCCCGCAACCCGGGTAATTCTAACTGTAATTAAGAGGAAAGTAAATTATAAATATTAGATATGCTTTTAAATTCTTCTAAGTCGTGTTTTCTACAATAAGTTACAATTTATACAAATATATCTAGTATATTCGTATAAAATCGTAAACATATTAAAATGTGGCTCATAATAATTTATTGTTATAATAATTTTTATTACTATGAAAAGTAAAACATTAATTTTTAATGAAAAGTTGCGAGTATGAAAAGTTTCTATTGAATTAGTTTATTAAGTTAAACAAATCCACAGCCTTGTTATACCCATCATTGGCTGAGTATACATATCTATCATAACAAAACCATCTTTTTTTAAGTTTAAATTGACTTTAATAATTTCTATATCTGTGATTAACTTTCCAATATCATCAAATTTTTGAATTTCTTTTAGAGTTGTTGTCAATTTAACAGATCTCTACGCTGTTACTTATTTTTTTTTTTTTACGATCTTCCTGGCAAACAATATATTTAGTAAAATCAAAAATAAGTGTTCTTTGAATAATGAATTATGCAAAAACAAAATAATATTAAAACAATTAAAATCATACAATCGTAAAGCTATTTCATCAAAATAGATATCTTGTAAAAAAATAGCGGAGGTTAAAAAAAAACTATTTTGCCTGAAATTGTTTTACATAGCAAAATTTTTGTAATAATTATTTATTAAATTACAAAAACTTAAACTCAGCCTTCAAAACAATATTCCCAGTTAACCATTCTAACTGGGGGAAATGCTGGGACCCATCTGGGTATCCCACATGGATTGCATTGCAATTCTGTCAGTGGGATCCATCTGGGATTAGTCTGGGTTTTTGACGGGAAATCCGATTTTGATTTTTTTTAGTTTGTTTTTCGCAGAATTTTTGTATTCGAATATATACAGTAATGTAAATATGTTTTAGACCACTTACATTTTCTCAAAAAATCCAAGAGAATTCTTCCTTAATATTTAAGTTTCGAATTCTATATTATAAAATTATTAAAACACATATATTTCACACAAAATATGGAACAATAACAAACTTTCTAATGTCACACTTCATAAAGAAATCCTTAATATTTACTTTGTCCTCCTTTTGCCTTAATCACAGCCGATATTAAATTTTGCTTACATTAAAATTTCAAAGTACAATTATATATGTCATATATATCGTGTTACAATTAAATTCGTGTTACAACATTTATTAACTAAATTAAAATAAGAAAAAACACGGACATACATATATAAATATAAGCATATATACACATACAAATGTGTAGATGCGCACATACATAAACTGCTTACAATGAAACATAAGCTAGGATCTGAAAGAAGATCACAAGATCTTGTCATCAGAACTTTATAAAGCACAAACAAGCAAAATAAATACCAGTATAAGATACTAAAAAATAAAGTAAAAATTAAAATAAAGAAAGTACTGAATTCAAGTTGTATAACAATTTTCAAAATATTAGAAGTATCTGAGTATATTATCAAGTGAAATAATACATTTTTTTAGATTGAGCTTGAAAAAGTAAAAGGAAGTTGGTAAATCAAAATTCTGCAAAACTATATTATTCCATAGGTGGGGTCCACGATAAGCAATGCAAAATTGATTAAATTTTGTGTGACAAAATGGTTCTTTTAAAAAGTTTATGTTTCTTATGTCGTATTTGTTGTTAGGTTTGAGTTTGAAAGTATTATTAAAAACGGTCGGGGATTGATTATTTCTCCATAGATATACAAAACATAAAACTTTAAATACATTGAGTTCAAATAAATTTAACAATCTCATTTCAGTAAAAAGAGATTTGTGTGTGTAAAACGATCGGCATAGTTAATTATGCGGATCGCATGCTTTTGACGACGATAAAGAAGTTTTAATCTGGACTCTGGGGAGGCCAGGTCATCATTTCCAGTATTCCTTCTTCTGCCATTTCATTTAAATAACTCGAGAACAATGTTTTGGGTCATTGTCCTGCTGCAGAATAAAATTATGGCCCATTAGTCTCATTCCGGATGGTATAGCATGCTGTCTTAGAATATCCACATAACGTTCCCGGTGAGTCATTCTTCTATTTCGATCAGATCACCTAACCCAGATGAAGATAAACAGCCCCAAACTTATAAAGAGCCTCCTCCGTGTTTACTAGTAGGGTTTAAACACTCGGGCTGATAGGCTTCTCTTATTTTTCTTCAAACATATTGACGTCTTTTCGTTCCAAAAATTTCAAATTTGGACTCATCAGTGTACAGAACCGGATTAAACATTTCCTGGGTCCAATCTTTGTGTTGTTTTGCATATTTAAGTCGCTTTTCTCTATTGCCACGCCGTAATAAAGGTTTTCGAATAGCAACGCAGCCTCGTAATCCTGATTTGAGTAGGTGTCGTCGAATACAAGAAGAGCTAACATTTTTCCCAGTTGCTGTATTAATGTCTTTTGCCAATTTGGTGGGTGTTTTTTTCCTGTTTCCTAAAGAAAGTTTTTTTAAATATTTATCGTCACCTTTTGTTAGCTTAAGAGGTCTGCCACTTTTCTTTCTATTTCCAAAGGAGCTAGTTTCTCTAAACTTTTTAAAGATTTCTCTAATAGCAGTCTTCGAATATCTTGTTTTGGAAGAAATTTGGCGCTGCGAATAACCTTCTTCGTGAAGCACAATAAATTTCTGTCTCTTTATTAAAGATATTTTACCCATAGCAACACTTAATTAATCTAAAAATGTAAACTAATAACTTTATTTAATTATTTTTAACTATTTGTTTAACTGTATTCATAAAAAATAACAACTTTTTAAAAAATGTACCAAAACCGATCATTATTGTATTAAATTCACTCTATGACTACATTTTATACTGTTAAAAACTTAAATGAACGAATATGAACCTGAACCAGTAAGAAAAAAATCGAAAATATTATTTTTATGTATTATTTAGATGAACGCTTGGTCTGCAGTTATTATGACAATTATCGTTTTAATAAATAAACAAACATATCCCTCATGTTGCTCATAAATTTTTGTTAGTTTATTCAAGATAATATATTCTTTCAACCTTTCTCAAATATTACTCAACTTAAGTATGCTTAAAAAAATAAAATACAAAGGAAAAAAATTGAAAATACAACTAATTATATAAGTGGTCTAAAACATATTCACAACACTGTGTGTGTATATATATATATATATATATATATATATATATATATATATATATATATATATATATATACATATATATATATATATATATATATATATATATATATATATATATATATATATATATATATATATATATATATATATATACATATATATATATATATATATATATATATATATATATATATATATATATATATATATATATATATATTATTGTAATAAATATATAATAGAAAAATATTATATTTGTATATAAAAAATATATTGTAATATGTTATTCATATATACTAACTGATCTGACCCGTAAAAATACGGATCTTTGTAAGTCTATTCCACACTGACATTTTCTCTATGCTTTTTTCTTAATATATATGTCCTAGCTTTCCGGACCCATAGTATACGGCTCTTTACCAAATTACCATTTCTATACTTATTTATTCCACACCGATCATTTTTATACCTATTATTTGTTTACTATAAGATTTTTACGTAAAATAACTAATTTTAAAAAATGGCTTTAAGAGCAAAAAATTTAACATGCGCACTTTTAGCATTTGTTTTACTCTTAACCGCTAGTTTAGTGGTTTAGTGGGCTGTCATCAATGTTGTTTTGGAGGATTAAAGACATATACAGCAAGATTGAAGTTTTTCAATCTTGCTGTATTTATAGCAAGTAATTATTTTTAAAAAAGAAGGAGATCTTCAGTTCTTTTAGGTGGAGATTTTCATTAAACTTAATGAGCTATTTTGATTTTCTATTTAACATACGATTCTGCAAGGAAAAATTTTGATCTTTTTTGTTTCGTTCATTAGTGAAATTAAGCGTTGCCCAGTTAATGGACAATCCCTTATTTAAAAGTAAAGAATAGGGATCAGCCAAAAGGAATATAAAGCCAAAAAATAATGGAGTGTAATGCTATTTAAATGAATAAGAAATAAATAGAAAAAGACCGCATTGCCGATTTTTAGTGGTTTAGGAGAACAGTTGACGCACATGTCATAATACAAAAATCAGATAATTTTTAAATGTTTAAAACATTGACCTTTTTTTATTACCGGACTTGGCGGAACTAAGAAGTTGACGTTTTAGTATTTTTGGCTTTTCTGTTTGTTTTTTTGTCTCCACGACAGCACCTTCTAAAGAAGCAGGACTGTCTTATCAAAATTTATTAAAAACTCTTTTTTAAGTTTCAGATCTTTTTTTTTTCATACTATCCACAGCTTATTAGGACTAATTATGTGAGCACAGTATCTCAATCGTGACACACACGCAACAAATTTCCCCCCGTTTTTTCGTGTTTTTAAAATTTTGAGCTTTATTATAAATCCAAAAACTTTATAAAATTAAAAAAAAATAAAATGTTAAAGCGTTTAACGCTGTTCCATTTAACTTGTTTAATTTGATAAATATTTAAAAAAGGAGTCGCCGGTCCTTGGACTCACACCACGGCGTTCTTGTTCAGAAGCTCAGTGCGCTAACTACGCGGCCATGCAGGTACGTTGATTATAGAAATTTTAAGACTATATAAAAATTGTTTTTAATGGATATAGATGCTGAAGATCAGAAATTATGAAAAGGTTGACGCAATGCAGATTTTTAGTGAAAGACAAACTGTAAAACTTGTAATAAAAAAAATAGCAATATTATTTTATAACAGTATAACAGAACTA